CTGAGTTTCAGAGATGAGTTCCTCACCAACGTTGACTTTTTTTTAGTTGTCTCTGGACCTAAAAATAGTCCAACTCCAATGATTTTCTTTGTGCTTAGCTGCCCATCACAGCCATTTAGTGAGCTCCTTTGTGACCAAGGAGTTTATACTGGGGACAAGGATGGAGGACCTGTCTGTCCTCAAGGACTTTACTGAGAGGAAGGCTACGCACACAAGCATTACTGGTGCCAGATAAATGGCACAAGAGGTGCTCAGAGAAATAGGAGAACGTGCTGGGCTTAGTCATCTCAGAAGTCCTAGTAGGCTTTAGACAAGCAGGGAGACAGCAGGGTGGTGTGAGCAATGAGGAATGCAGCAAGGGTGGTGCCATGAGCTGAACAATTAGGCTAGTGAGGAGGGTTCATATAGAATACTTGTTTCAAACGTGAGCATACTCTGAGATCACGTGGAGGGCTTATTAAAACACAGAGTGCTGAGCCACCCCCGTGGTTTCTCACCCAGTAGCTCTGGAGTGGAACCCACGAATGTGCACTTCTACCAGTTCCCAGACGGTGCTGGCAGTGCCCAGCTGGGGACCACAGTTTGAGAACCCTGGACTATCAAAGAATAGAAACTCACCGAGCAGGAAAGGTGATCTTAGACCTGACCACGGAGTGTCAATGGCAGGCTGACATGTTAGACTTTCCTGGTCCAGTTTGGAACAGTGACTTGCACAAAGCAATGCCATTGTGCTGGTAGCAGAGATAGGTCGAATGGGTAGAGCGAAAGTAAAAGATGCAGAGACACCATGGTTTATTACATGGTTAAAGCAAATGGACTTGAAAGGTCTGATTAGGGCAGTGACAGTGGGAATGGAAAGAAAATATTAGTGCAGAAATCTTTGTGAATGAAGCGTCTGCTTGTAGGAGAGAAGAGCTGGCTGACAGGTCGTCTCCATCGTTCTTTGAGAGAATCTTCCATTCTGTACAGTAATTTGTATAATGTGATTTTGAGGCTCGGTGACTATTACTAGGGTTGAACTTTTTACATTCACACAATCTAGAAGGAAAAGCAGAAAACATTACTGTGGCCCAGCCAGCGTGGCTCAGTGGTTGAGCGCGACCTATGAACCAGGAGGTCATAGTTCGATTCCCGGTCAGGGCACATGCCCAGGTTGCGGGCTCGATCCCCAGTGTGCGGCATGCAGGAGGCAGCCGATCAGTGATTCTCTCTCATCATTGATGTTTCTACCTCTCTCTCCCTCTCCCTTCCTCTATAAAATCAATATATATTACGTTACTGTGTAAGTTAGTAGGGTAAACTGTTTTTAGGGAGGTCATTTAATTTTCCTGAGGGCTTTTTAAAAAATTTTTTAAAATTTTTTTTTTTTAATCAGAGAGGAAGGGAGAGGGAGAGATAGAAAAATCAATGATGAGAGAATCATTGATCGACTGCCTCCTACACGTGCCCCACCAGGGATCGAGCCCACAACCTGGGCATGTGCCCTTGACTGGAATCAAACCTGGGACCTTCCAGTCCACAGACCCATCCATGCTCTGTCCACTGAGCAAACCGGCCAGGGCTACCTGAGGGCTTATTTGAAGGCCTAGGAGAGAACTCAGGTGTGAATACATCTGGGACTCAGGAGTGGCCCTGTTTTACCAGGGAAACTTGGCTTACCTGCCAGGTAGGATAGAGCCTGCGAGGACTGCTTTTGAAGAGGTGAAGCTCGAGGAAGATGCCTCCTGCAGCCTCAGAACTTGGCAGGTGCTGTGTCGTGATCAGATGAGCTCCTTGTGCTCCTGATCTCTTTGTAGATGAAAGCAGAGCCCAGGTGACCTCAGCTCCTGCCTGTCCCCTGATTCTTGTTGCTCTGTCACAAGTGGGAACCATGTCTTCAACCCAAGTCTGTATTTAGGTTTTATACTAATATGGGGTGGTCCATTTTTCCATCTGAATTAGCACAGCTTTACCATGTTATTTTGGTTTTGAACAGTCCCAAAGCCTCTTAGGAGAGTTCCCTACTCCACAGGTGGGAGGAATGTGTATTCCCTCTCCACAGGCTGTGGGCTGGGCTGGGAGAGTGAAATGGGTTTATAGATGGAAATGGTACCTAGAATGTCTGCTCCTGGAAGGGCAGCAGAGCCGCGCTCACTGATTTTGCTTGATCTGATATATGAAGCTTTAGAATCACCCCCTGGAATATGGAGCAAGTGGTGGCGAAATAGAGAGTCAGTGTTTTAACCTTGACTTCCAAAGACAACTACAGAGGTGGTGAATCAAGGAAGTCATCGTGGCAACACGTTACGGCAATGGCCTTGCTTGTTCAGGATATGCTTACCTGGGGTTGGAGGCTTGGTGTCCTTTGAGGCTCTCCTTCCTCTGTCTCTGACTCAGGGAAGAGAGTACACAGGGGAAACTGAGGCTAAGGAGACCTGAGAACAAGCATTTGGAAACATTACCATCTTACCCTCCTCATCCAATGGCCTCCTGATAGGAGTCAGGCAAGGAGAGGAGCAGGAGGCACTGCAGCAGTTGAGGGAGATCTGGACCGAATTAGAACAGGATTACAAAGACTTCATCTAGGTTGAAGCCAAAGGTGCTGCCTTCCCACCCTGTGGAGAGTGTTTTGTCTGTGGGAGAAGCCCCTGGTATGAAAAGGCTTCTGTCTGGCGAAGATGCCACTGGTTTGAAATCACCCCTGTGGCTCTGCTCCCTGTGCATATTCCGCCAGGTTAGAAACAACAGTTTAGGGAAAAGAAGGGGACCAATAAGTAGACATGAACTAAGATATAATCCAGTACAATGTGCTTTTAAGGCATTTTTTACTCTTTGTTTAGCAGGGGCAGTCAGACAAGGATGTCCCGAATACCTAAAGATTTAGATGTAAAAACAAATGATAAAAAACACATGAAGCCTGAGTAAAGTGGTGAGGTGGAGCATGATGGGTTGGCAGAGGACTTGCTGGAGAAGAGATTCCTGAACTAAGTGCTATATAGCAGCTGTGGCATAATGAACACGAGGCAGGGGCTTGCACCTGCATTTGGGACTTGAGTGTGGCAACGAGAGGGGAAAGGGAATATTCTGAGCCCGGACGTGTTTGCCAAGTTTTGTCTAAAGTTGTGGCAGGAGCAATTGCAAGGACAGTAGGTTTCCGAGTGTTAAGAACAGTGTTTCTGGCCCAGACTCATTCTCCCCCTTCCCCCTTTCCAGTTGCTGTCCCCACACCAGCTTTCTTCATCCTCTGGTACCAAGTCGACAACCAAATGGTTTGCTGGGAAGCCAGCCATGCCAGGGTGCGGTGGTCTGTAGCCTTGGGGCCTCAGCCGAATGTGCAACCAGGAAATTGGCTTTCACGAGTTTCCCACTGAGGGCTGCCAGAGCCATCAACTTAAGCCAGGAAGGATATACTCATACTTGCTGTAGGTTTCGGCTGTTTCTGCATACAGACCATTGAATTTATGTATTTATTGCCCAGAGAATTTGTACCCTCCACCTTCCCATGATATGCCCTTCTCTGTGCCATTTCCAGTGTGAAAAAAGAAAAGTACCAATACTTGGATAATTTTTACATAAGTAAATTATTTCTAAAAAAACAAAAAAACCAGCAATGTTTGGAATCTCTGTAGACAGATGTATTGAAATGCATTTGCCTTATACAGTTCAAGCCATAGAAAGCAATGAGGATGAGTTTACAATTACTCCTGTGCCATTGGAGCTAAAGCAAAACAAAAGATCAGTCGATTGAGGATCTTGTGTAAATATCTAGTAAATAAGTACCTGGTAATTCCTTCTGATTTGGGCCATTGGAATCAAAGCTTCCAATACAGTATTATGATGAATACCAGGGGGACATTTATAGATCCACTGACCATTTAGATAAAACAGGTATCCTATCTAATAAAGAGGGAATATGCTAATTGACCTTCACACTGTCACAAAGATGGCTGCTCCCACAGCCAAAAAGGAGGGAATATGCTAATTGACTGCCCCACCCTCAAAGATGGTGGTGCCCACAGCCAATAAGGAGGGATATGCTAATAGACTGCCACGCCCTCAAAGATAGCAGTGCCCACAGCCAATATGGAGGGAATATGCTAATTGACTGCCATGCCCTCAAAGATGGCGGCGCCCAGTCCCCTCAGCCCCACTGGGGCGCCTACTTCTGGAGTCCCCCAGTCCCCTCAGCCCCCCAACCGCCCAGGGCCGGCCCAAGGTGCAGGTAACCAGGGCCAGCCAAGGCTTGCACTGCTGGCAGTGGCAGCAGCAGAGTTGTGATGGGGCGTTGCCTTCCCCTGATCACTGGGTCGCCTCCCGCCCCTGAGGGCTCCCAGACTGTGAGGGGGCAGGCCGGGCTGAGGGACCCCCTCTGCAGTGCATGAATTTTCATGCACCAGGCCTCTAGTATTGAATATAAAACAAGAAGACTCCATTTTTTTTTTTTTAGCCATTACCCAATGCAGTGTGTGAAAGACGTGTTTAGGGTATGATTGAATACCATCCCTGAACTACAGAAGAGTGAGTTGAAAATGAGTTTTTCAGTCTTGAGTCCCGCCTTCAAAGCCACGTGGGAAATGATGGGCCAGCCTCATGAGTTACGCATCCGGGGGCTCATGAGCTGCTGGAACCTTGGGTTCCAGGCTCTCTGGCCCCAGCCTCACCCTTGTAAGGACACTGTTCCTGGTCTTGGGGATGCTAAACCCACAAAACAAATGAAACTGTTTTCTCTTTTTGTCTAGGAGGTGTAGTTCTTGACTTTCAGCTCACTGTGTGGTCAGAAGAAAGAAGGCTGAATTGACACTTTGTGATTAGACAGATAAGTGGTTGACAGTCCTGTGGATGCAGCCACAAGGCACTTGCCACATCCTAAATTTGTACTCTTCCATGACTTATATACAATGTATTTTGGGTTTAGAATAGTTTTGCAAAATTTACACTGGGACAGAAAGGGTAGAAGCTTTTTTTTTTTTTTTTAAGGTGCACATAAACGTGAAATAAATATGAGCTGAAACTTTGTAAACAGGAAATTGAGTTTATAAATGAGCCATATTTGGATATAACAAATGTCTAGTATATTCAGTTACTCCTCATGTTGTACACAAGTATCTTCTATTTTGCTTGCTAAGGAAGGGCGACCCAACTAAAAGAAGGACAATATTTGGTGTAGACATTGGGCTTAGTACAATGTGTTCAGTGCACAAACTCTCATGGGCTTTATTCTAGTTTTCATCTCCATGTCAAGCAGAGCGCTCATCTCTTGCTTGCTTGGAAGCATGCTGCTGTGATTAAAAACCCAACACATACACACACACACACACACACACACACACACGTGTACACACCCCAATCCTGAATTCCTGGAGCCATTGCCCCAAGGCTTAGCCTGACAATACTGACATAGTGACTCCAACCCCATGGTGGTATCTGAGACCCCAGTCTCCTCACTTGTTCCTTTGCTCCGGTCCTGTAGATAGCACTATAGAAAAGGAGGCTTGTGTCATCTCTGGGGAGTCACCTCTGCTGATGACACTTCCAGACAGTGGAGGAGGGGGCAGCAGTGGCCTGGTAGTCCGAGGGTGAGGCTTCCTTATTCTCGCAGGAAATTCAGGCACTGGTCATAGGAATGGTTCCTTGAAGTGGGGAGGGAGGGAGCACAGAATGACACCTGGTAGCATTCAGTTTTCCTTTGCTTTCATGGTGCATAAAACTTTGAAGATAAAAAATGGCCTTAAATGATCTAGTCTAGCCTTTAGAAGAACATATAGGTGGAATTAAGGGACATACAGAATAAAATCACAGTCATAAATTAGGGAAGACTTTTATGGTTTTATTGATTTTTACTTAACTTAAAGGATGCTTCCTAAGGGTCTAAAGTACTCTCAGCATTTTGTAAATATAAATATTAACCCCTTAATCCTAATAATAGTCCTGTGGCATAGATACTAATATTATCTTAATTTACTGATAAGGAAACCGAAATACAGAGAGGTGCAGTAACTGGCTCAGAGTCACACAGCTCGTCAGTGGCGGGGCTGGGCTCTGAAGGCACCCTGTCTAATCTGTCCATTCTGTCAGTGAAGAGACCGAGGCCGGAGTGTGTGTCCATTGCCACCTCTCTAGTTAGTGGCAGAGCAGGTTCAGAGCCCAGGTCATCTCTGTGTTGCCATCCACTGAGTAGGCACCAGTAGATTGTTCTTGGATTAGATGCGCTGGGCAGGAAAGTCATCAGACCAGCAGCGCTTCTCAAAGTCACCTTCAGAATTATCACTAAAAGATGAGTGTTGGTGTCAAGAATTCTCTAGCTATTGGTTAAACTATGGAATATCTTCTGTGACCATACAGCATGTCTTTCTCCCTCAAGTACAAAGAAGAATTTGGGTGGTTTTGAGAGGTAGCTTGGGAATTGAAGAAAGTAGGGATGAAAGTATGTGAGTCTGCCAATGGATGAGAGTTTGTTGACTCACTTACATTTCCTTTATTTCATTAGTATTGTTATAGTCCCATGGCCATGCACTTAAGCTTATGCCACTCAGTCTATGAAGCTGGGCCTTCAACCTCATGGGTTATCCTGCCAAGTTTCCTATTTCTCCAGTTGTGGCTGAGATACCAACTATAGGATGCATTTCCTACTGGTCGAGAGGCACTGGTTTTTACCTTTTCATTGCTTCTTGGAGTATTCTTCATTCATCCTAGTTTACTTCCTTGAAGTATGTGTTTTGGGTTAAGGAGAACACATTTAATTTTTCCAGAGGAAAATTATGTGCTAGTATACATATAATTAAACATCGAGGAGAAGGCAGGAAGACGAGAACTTTACACATAGTTGATGGAGTAACTCGGAGAGCAATGTGATGATACCTAGTGAAGTTGGTGATGTGCATTCCCTAAACCCAGGCTCCACCTGGATATATATGCTTTAAATGCTGTAGGGTTGAGAGTGGTGCTACTCAATGTGTGATCTGCAGATGGTGAAGGTTTGTGAGCTCTTTGCTTCCAATGCACAGTGAGATAAATAAGTAAAGGAAATGAGAGTATTTAGAAGCTTTTATAATAATTTGGCATTTCTGACTTCCAAGAAATTGACTTTGTATGTTATAAAAATACTAGAAGCCCAGTGCATGAAATTTGTGCACTGGGGACGGGGGCGTCCTTCAGCCTGGCCTGTGCCCTCTCACAGTCCGGGAGCCCTCAGGGGATGCCCAACTGATGTCTTAGGCCCACTCTCCATGGGGACATCCTTAGCGCTGCCATGGAGGCAGGAGAGGCTCTCACCACTACAGCTGCACTCGCCAGCCATGAGCCTGGCTTCTGGCTGAGCAGTGCTCCCCCTGTGGGAATGCACTGACCACCAGGGAGCAGCTCCTGCATTGAGCATCTGCTCCCTGGACATCAGTGCACATCACAGCGACCGGTTGTTCTGCCGTTTAGTCAATTTGTATATTAGCCTTTTATTATATAGGATTGGCCCAAAACAGACTAGATATAAGAAAACTGGGTCTCTTAACACAGATAGTTAGGGAAGCTTTGTCCTAGAGGAATTCTCAGACATATGCAAAGAGACCTATACAGGAGTGCTTAAAATCACTATACACCTGTGTGTACACACACATACACATACATGCTTGTGTAACAACCTAAATGTCTTCTGTTATGAAAATGTATTAGAAACATCACAATATGTCCTAAGAAAGAGTATTCAATGATTAAAATAAACTAGATGTACATATATGAACACAGATAAATCAAATTTTGAATAAAAGAGCAAGTTACAAAATGATACCTACATTCTGAGAATTATATAAAATATAAAACACAAAATAACAATATATTCACATACACAATAAATGCTAACAACATGGATGGGAAAGATGCTTCAGAAAAGAATTAAACTCTGGGAAGGGAAAGTGGGTAGTAGGATTGCAAATAGGCAAAAGTAATAAAAAGGCTTCAACTATATGATGTTTTATTTCATTTTTGAGAAACTGAAGCCAATGTAGCAAAAATATTTACATTTATCATATCTACATGGGTATTAAATTTTTCTGTATTTAAAAATATTTCATAGTACAATTAGCCTTAAAGTATGATTTTTTTTTTTCTGATTTAGAAAGCAAATGGTACATACCAGAACATCCGGGGGCCTTTATTACGAGCAGTGTCTAGGGACCCACTTTCTTCCCAGTGACTTAAAACCAGGTATCAGTCTAGTGGGCAGTTTTATAGCTCAGGGCTGATGAGGAAGCATCCTTTCAGAGCCCAGGAGCAGTCAGAGATGCCTGGATTCTGATCCTAGCTTTGTGACAACTCAGTTGTGACAGTGGGTTCCCATGTCAAAACCTTCATTGTTTGCTCTGAAAGATTCATGCTACTGAGACTGCTTTCAGTATTGAAATTTTATAACTTATAGAAATGATATATAAATGTGTATTTGAAATATTATAAGGACTGGTGACTTCATGCTCCTTTTGACAATAATTATATAGACTAAGGGACTACCTGGAGTGAACACAGATGTAGGAATAAGATTCGATATTTGTGCGGTGGAATCAGATCTGGATTTAAATCTTGCCTCATGGCTGCTTACTAACTATGAGCCTTGGTTTCCTAAAATATTCTGTTTTCCTATTTCTTAAGACAAGAAAAAAATAGCGCCTACCTCAGCTTGGAAGGATTTTATGAGATTAACAATATTATCATTGAAGATGTTACAAATCAGTGCCATCACTGTTGTGCCTGGGAAGGTACTAGAATAAATCCTCAAACAATTCATTGCAGCCATCTTCCAGCGATGAGAGGAGCATAACATGCCAATTGGCCTTTGAAGTAGTAATAAATGAAATGATGCTGCATTCCTTTATAACCATGCATTTGCAGTGATTTAGTAAATGTTCTCATCATAAGAAAAAAAAATTGTAACTATGTGAGATGATGGATGCTAACTAAACTTAGTGTGGTAATCATTCCATATATATACTAGTGTGTGTGTGTGTGTGTGTGTGTGTGTGTGTATACACACACTAGTATATATCAAATCATGCTGTGCACCTTGGACTAATACAATGTTACATTGTATTAGTCTCAAAACTAAAACAATGCCCTAGCTGGTTTGGCTCAGTGGCTAGAGCATCGGCCTGTGGACTGAAGGGTGACGGGTTTGGTTCTCAAGGGCACATGCCCGGGTTGTGGGCTTGTTCCCCAGTGGGGGCGTGCAGGAGGCAGCCGATCAATGATTCTCTCTCATCATTGATGTTTCTGTCTCTTGCTCTTCCTTTCCTCTCTGAAATCAAGAGAGGAAATTTAAAAAAAAAAAAAACTGAAACCATTATAAATATAAAAGAAATATAAATCAATTATACCTCAGAATTGAAAAATAAAAACAAGATAAAGTGATTTAGAAATGGTTCTGTATCAGTTCTAACTAGATGATGAATCATACATTGCTTCCAACTCTTGAATTCTCTTCTCTGTGGACTGTGGTTGAATTACACTAATTGTTTACACAGGAAAAACAAAATTGAGAATACTCTTGGTTTTTAATGTGTGTTTTGTAATGTATACTCTTGCCATCAATTTTACCAGGACTCTCCAAAGCAGAACCAGATGACAATGGGGAGAAAGAATGATCAGTCAGGTTTAGCTTTAGTGCCTCTCAGAGCCGGGTTGCCATTTGCTGTGGAGCAGAAAACGTGGACAGTCATCTGCCTTGCTTAGTGACACAAGGCACAGCTGATGGGCTGATGCGGCTGGGCCTCCAGTTCTGCTGACTGAGTATGTGCTGATAAATCTAGGTTTCAAGGGCTTGGGTTTAATGGAGCCCTGTGGTATCACAGGGGCCTGGCGAGTGAACCTCCTGCAGCTTATCAGCAGAAGATAAACAGAAAGGCGCTGGTCCCTCTGCCGGGCTGGGGAGATGTTTATCACCAGGCTTCTGAGAACAGGAGTTAAACCCATACCAACGCTTCAGAAGTAATGTCAACATAACTGGAGACCACAGCCAGCAAGGAATTCCCTGAGATAAGATTACAACTTTGTCCTTAAAGCGATGCCGACCAAGTCAGTCGAGCCCCAAATGTTCCCTCAGCAGAGAGACCCTGTAAGTTATCCTCCATACCAAAGGACTTTAGGAACTCAATTTTCTGTGTGCTGCTTGATGCAACTATTCTGCTATTTTCTAATCTATGTATAAAACCCTAGCAATATCTAAGAAAGAAACTCAATTTTCTATGTGCTTCCTGATGCAACTGTTATGCTGTTATTTTCTAAACGTTGTACAAAACTCTAGCAATAGCTGAGAAAGTCCTGCAGGGCCACGCTTGGTGCCCCCGAGATCAGGTGGTTGTAGACATTGAGCCAGCTCTCCATGGGCAAAAGCACTCACTCACCTTCTCTGGGGACTTTGTTTCTTCTGGGTCTCGCCTGAGGGCTCCAAGGCTAGATTAGACCTCTAGTCTAGGTCCAGGATGAAGGCATTAGAGGGAAAGGGAATTCCGTCTTTGAGATAACTAGGAGCCACTCCAGTAATCTGTTTAAATACAGAGTCACGAGTTTGGTTTAGATATCAGTATGCACCCTGGCCCTGGAGTGATGGGGGCATCAGGGATCAAGGTAAAGCAGGTATCCTCCCAAGACCACTCTGGGAATGAGAAAGAAACAGCCTACAGAGCGACAACTCACCTTCAGTTGTCGTCCAGATAGGAATGGCATCACTTCTTGCTTTGAAGTGCCTCCCATTCATTCCATTGCAGTCCCTGTGCACAGCCTGGTGTGGCCTCTGGATTCTAACGCCCTTCCCAGGGCTATGCCATATATAGTTACCAGGTTAATTAACTAACAAACAAACAAACAAACAAACAAAAACACTCCTTTTTATCCTGTCATTACAGTGAAGTCTTACAATAAACTTCATCCTCCTAGTTCATTATTAAATGTTCTTAGTAATCTTTCTATCCAGTTTCTCCTTCTTCATTAATCTTTATTTCATTCAAAAGATCTACGTATGGGCTGTGGTAACTCCATTTTTCCATTTTCCTGCCTGTGTGCTTTTGTCCCCACCCTCTCCCCTTTCGGAATTCCTTCTCCCTTCTCTTCTAGTCACACACATCTCTTCCTCCAAACCTTGGCAGACCAGCCCCTCCAGCACTGATCTGACCCGCCTCTGAATTCTGCTGCCTTGTCGTCCAGAGTCCATACAATTAATCACATCCTGCTGTGTGAATTACCTTTACCTCATGTGCTCTGTCTTGCTCTTTCACTCTCTGCTTCTCTCTCTTTCTCTCCGTGTGTGTGTGTGCGTGTGTGTGTGTGTGTGTGTGTGTGTGTAGCTAGATAAAGGGCCTCTGAAAATAAACTCTATGACTTGCATATCTTTAGAATACACTAATGGGTGCTCCATGACATTGCTATTCGTCGGTAATTCTCCTTAGGACCTTGGCTTTTTCCATGATGGCAGGCATCTTTGTCTTCTGTCCTCTCCTGTTTCCACGGCACCTGGAGTGGTGCCTTGCACAGAAAAAACTGAGCGAGTCTCGGCAAGTCCTGCTGCTCCAGAGAGAGTTCCCTTGACCGGGGCCTGCAGCTGGCCTTGACGCTCTGCCCGTGTCCGCGCTTCCTGAGGACGGAGCTGCCTCGTGCCCGGGCTGGCAGGTGCCTTCGCTGCCCCTGACCCCGCTCTGTCTGTGTTTTCCTCAGATACATACTCTCATTCCTCAAGTGAGAACGGAGGCAAGTCCGAGTCAGTGGCCAACCTGCAGAGCCAGCCCTCCCTGAACTCCATCCACAGCTCCCCCGGCCCCAAGCGCTCCACCAACACCCTTAAGAAGTGGCTGACCAGTCCGGTGCGCAGGCTCAACAGCGGGAAGGCAGACGGAAACATCAAGAAGCAGAAGAAAGTGCGCGATGGCCGCAAGAGCTTCGACCTGGGCTCTCCCAAGCCTGGGGATGAGACGACGCCTCAGGGAGACAGTGCTGATGAGGTACCTACCTACGGCCCTCGGAAGGGCTTTGGCACTCATCCTTCCTGCAGCCCCGGCACCATCTTCCCCGGGTTGTAGCAAGCTGGACAGTCTAGTCCCCAGTAGTGTATTCTTGAGCCTAAGTGACCCGAGTTCTCTGAGTTCTCAAGACCTGGCCAGTTTGATCTGTGACCAGTTCAGAGCCTGAGCAGCACCTAGCACATCCACACACAGACACCATTTTGCTAGATTTGGCTCCAAGGGGAGCCAGGTAGTCACCTAGGCCCCTGCCACTGCCAGGGACTCCATCAGAACCTGCTCGGCCTGTTTAGAATGGGAATAAAAGAACAGAGGCCATTTCACTTGGAAAACAGAAGACTGTGCTGGGAGATGGTCGCTCTTTACAAGTGTCTTGAGCACTGCCACATAGGAAAGGGAACAGACAAGTCCAGCTTGCTCCAGGGGGAGAATTATGATTGACAAATGGTGAACATTATCACAGGCAAGGTTTCAGCTCCAAGAGGGACTTTACAGGGGGGTCAGCTAGTGAGGGAATGAGCCTCCATGAAATGAATGGCCACCATACTGCAAGGGTCTGGGAGACTGCATGATCTCACGTAACAGAAAGACGCCTGTTTAACCCAGAGGTCAGACTGGATGACCCTTGGAAGTTCCTTCCAACGCTGAGATTCTGTGATCAAGATGTAGTGGGTCTGTTTTGGTTGGTAGAATGGGATAGCTGTTTTATCTGGCAAACTAACCTACTCTAGTCACCAGTGTGACTAAGAAGTACTTCCTGATCTGTAACCATACGCTCTTTGTAATTTTGTGCTGTCTGCCATTTCTTCCTATGAAAAGGGGAGCCTGGTGATATTCAGACTGTGTTTTAATAGTCCTTCGGAAACTCAGGAAGTTAGCTCTCTCTGACCACACTCAGCTTTCCCTTTCACTGGCTAATCCACAAGGTAGATGTTTCTCAGACGCATGCGCATACGTGTGTGTGTGTGTGTGTGTGTGTGTGTGTGTGTGTGTGTTTTCCTCATTTGGTCCTTACTGTCCTTTGAGGTAAGAAGTATACCTATTCTACAGAGGAAGGCACTGAGGCTAAAAAAATGTAGGGGTAGGTTGAGAGAGGAGGTATCTAATATGTTGCTTTAAAAAAAATTGCCAAGTCGATTGGCATCTTTAACTCTATGGAACAGTGACTAATGCTGCTCTTTTGTTCTAGAAGAGCAAGAAAGGTTGGGGTGAAGATGAGCCAGATGAAGAATCCCACACCCCGCTCCCTCCGCCTATGAAGATCTTTGACAACGACCCTGCGCAGGATGAGATGGTAGGACTTCTTTGCTCTCTCACTTGAACGAGGATGTGTAACGCATGTGCTTTCATTGTGTGTGTGTGGTAGGCAGCAGTACTCTCTCCCTTGTTATCTCCTGCACCACATGAATCCATGGTAGTTGGTAGGGTCCTCCCCCTACAGACCCTGGAGGTCTGACTTTGTTCTGGGCAGTGTGGCCGTGTGTGTGGAATGGGCAGAGTGGGATCTGCTGGCATCATGTCCCACTGATGAAAGGTCATGGCTTTGTCTTTGGGAGCAGCTGATCCCAAATGGCACGGTTAGTCTCAAAAAGGAATCTGCGGTGGTCCCAGCCATGATCGTTTTCTTGTGCCTGACTGTACACCCCGTGCTTCAGTTGATTGTTTCCCCTGTCCCCAACTCTAACACCTAAATAATGGGAACTTCCGGGCAAGCCCAGTGCTGTTGAAATTCTGCAGGCACAGCATGAGGATGGAGCTGAGGGGAGGTTGCTGTCAGAGGTGGGCAAACCCAGCATGCCAGGTTGCTCAAGTTCTGTGTTTTGCAAAATGCCCCGAGGCCCACAGGTGTTGGAAGTATGATGAGTGGGCCTCTAATCGCAGGATGATCATTCTGGTTGTCCTGGAGCAGAAGCTGAGGTGGGATATGTGTTCAGGTTCTGACCCGAGGCCAGAGGCTGCTTTAATCACGTGCTCCATCACTCACTGTCCTTACAAACCACACTTTCCCTTAGTGTTGCTGTCCTTTGGACGCTGGAGTTGAAGTGGTGGTTTCCATTTTTTATTGTACTTTGCATTTGCTTTTCAGAATGTCATGTACTGATTGTGGCAGTGGTAGTCATGGTGGTGGTGGCGGTGGCGTTGGCGGTGGTGGTGGTGGCAGTGGTGTTGTTGTTGGTGGTGGTGGTGGTGGCAGTGGTATTGTTGGTGGTGGTGGTGGTGGCAGTGATGGTGGTGGTGGTGGTGGTGGTGGTGGTGGTGGTGGTGGCGGCGGTGGTGGCAGTAGCAATGGCAGTGGTGGTGGCAGTGGCTTAGCCTCTGTCCGGTCTCCCTGTGCTCTCTAGTGTTCTGCCTTGCAGTGGGGCAGCCCGCTCTGATGCTGTGGGGCCAGCATACAGCACCACCTAGGATACAGTGCCAAAAGGACTGTGCAGATGCTTCAGCATTTCTGGTGACAGCCCAGTTCTTGTTTTAATTCTTCTCTACATTTGGGTCATTACCCACAGACACTAATTGAGGGCTTCCTCTGTGCCAGAGGGACTGATTCTAGGGACAGGATGATGACTAAGATGTGGTCGCTGCCCCCTCTGTGACTCACCATGAGAAGCACAGTGTGGCCCCTCCTAAGGTGATGTTGGTGACCCTGGTCTCCAGGGCCAGCTCTGACTCTTGACTACGGGCAACAAGGAGCAAGAAGCCTGGCATGGTGCCCATCCTGGAATCCCTGTGCTTCACCTTGAGGTGGGAACGAAGACCAGCCCGCTGTGTTCCCAGAGGCCTACCTTTGTAACATGTTCCGTAAACAGTGATAGCGCCTGTGGGCAGTGGGATGCTCATGTCGCATTATCTCCCACGCAGCCTTCCGCACCGAGGTGCCAGCTTGCAGAAGATAAGTAAAGGTCATGAACCCTCCCCCTCTAGTAATCCCAGAAACAGCAGAAACAGTTTGTTTGGGGGAAAGGATGTTATGTTGTTTCTAGATAATTTTTAACTGAAAATGTGGACTTACTCCCAGATGTCTATGTAGACTTTTCTCAGCCAGAAACCAGGAGATGGCAAGTCGCTTTGTAGACTGGTTAACCCTCCTCCGTCCTGCTTGTTTGACTTCTGAACCCTTGTTTTCTGGAAAATTGGAGGATCCTCAGAACTTCTAGCAAATGGTGTTGGGTTTATAAAAATAATTTTTACAACCATGTAAAAGGGATTTTTAAAAGTCTACCCATTGTAATGTTGTGCATGTTTCCTTCTAGCATTTGTTCATTTGCATGTATGTCTTATTTACTATGTCCTCATTAACTTTACCTCCGTAACTATAATTTCACTAGCTAGGGAGTATGAGGTTACTTATGTGCCAGAATTAGCTTGACCAGCCTGTTTGAGGATATCCCAGGTTGCTGCCAGCTTTGGCTACTCCCGATAGTACTGCCCAGGTCACCTGGAACATACACTGCTGCCCTTGGAAACAGTTCCTGGGGGTAGGATTACTAGATCACAAAGTTGATAACTTGGACTTCCAGACAGACTTACGCTTTTTTCCTGCATTCCCCAGGAGAGAAAAAAAGAGTGTCCTTATGTCTCTCTTAATTACATTTATCTGATTTTTTTTTTTTTGCCCCGTCTCAGAAGTAGAGACTAAACTCGCACTGAGATTAGACAACAAGACGCTTCCTTTCTGAAACTCTTCCCCAAACGTAAGGGACAAGCTGGAAACCAGAGCACAGCCAGGACAGTCGGTCGTTAGTATCAAAGGCTGAAGGCGCGTGCGTCCCGGGCCCTGGGAACACCATTGTCCTCTGCTGCGATGTGCCAGGGGGAAAAGCTGCCCCATGTATGTAGGGTTCATCATTTCCCCCAATTTCTTCTCAAGTAGAAGGAAAAAAATATGCCACCGCCCCTCAATGAGCAGGAGTTCCCCAACCATTGACCAACAGCCACCTGGGTCCATCCTTATTGTGGGTTGAGGGGCAGCGGGACAGCCCATGGCTGAGCCTGCCTTCACTGTGATCGGGAGAGTCCCTCGTTGCTCCAGGAGACACACACGTCCTGCTAAAGCCCTTTATTGCTTCCCAGTGTTCCAGTGTGGGGACCTTACTGGGAATAGCTGTGTTTGTGGAGGAGTGTGTGTGAGGGTGCATGTGTGTGTGACTGTGTGTGTGACTATGTGTGTGTGTCTGTGAGGGGGAGGGGTGTAGCTTTCTCGCCTCTAAGTGCCCTGCCCCCAGCATTTTTGCTTGACACCAGGTGAAGATTATATTTAAGATCTGAGTAAAGCAAGGACAATTTCTCTTCTTTGGACACACGGAGGCTAGGTGTTTTTACTCCTTTCATACCCTGGAACAGCAATGAGCAGCACTGTAATGACCAAAGTCTTGTCTGGCCCCTTCCCCCTCACGCCCACCACCTCACTGCTATCAGTGGGTGCAGCCCTTACCTATTGGCCTCTCAGGGAACACAGTGGCCTCGCCCCTCGGCTCCTTTGGTGGCCTGCCTAAGGAGAGCCTAGACCAGCCGTGGGCAAACTACGGCCCGCGGGCCGGATCCGGCCCGTTTGAAATGAATAAAACTAAAAAAAACTAAGACCGTACCCTTTTATGTAATGATGTTTACTTTGAATTTATATTAGTTCACACAAACACTCCATCCATGCTTTTGTTCCGGCCCTCTGGTCCAGTTTAAGAACCCATTGTGGCCCTCGAGTCAAAAAGTTTGCCCACCCCTGGCCTAGTCCCATCCCTGCTTCCTTCTGGCCAGATTTCCTGACAAGGGGTCTGGCAGACCTGTCCCACACCCACACCCACTATCTCCCTCTGTCATCTCTTCCCTTGATACATAGAGCTTTGCTTCCCTTGCCTGCCTTGAGCTTTGGACTTGCTGTTTTGCTTTCTAATTGCTATTCCTCATTCCTTGCTAATCTGCTTTTCCTTTGCTGCTCAATGTCTTGCAGTCCTCCTCTTTGCTAGCAGCCCGGCAGGCTTCCGCTGAAGTTCCTACTGCTGCAGACCTTGTCAGTGCAATAGAACAGTTGGTCAAAAGCAAGCTGGTAAGTGGGGGTCCTGGAGGCACGTCTGCCTGTATCTTACCTCCATGTGGCTCCCCGGGGCCTGGCATCTGTCGGCCATGCTCTCCTTTGCACACACCCTCATCCCTCCTACAGCACTGTTTCCAGCTAATGGTGCTTTCTACTAAAAAAGCTGTGCCCCCAGAGCCCTTTTGTTTTTTGTGTGTGTGTTTTTAAAAATACATTTTTTTTTTATTAATTTCAGAGAAGAAGGGAGAGGAAGGGAGAGAGATAGAAACATCAATGATGAGAGAGAATCATCCAACGCCTGCCTTCTGCAAGCCCCCTACTAGGGATGAAGCTCCAACCTGGGCATGTGCCCTTGACCGGAATCAAACCCAGGACCCTTCAGTCCGCAGGCTGACGCTTTATACACTGAGCCAAACCAGCTAGGGCCCCAGAGTCCTTTTGGACTTTGTTTGGGAGTGGGTACCGGCAACTAACAGGTTCTTCGGGGTTGTGATCTTGATGAAAGGTGAAAAATACTCTCGACAAAATAGCCCCCAGGGAAGTGACATTTGGACAGTGACTGATGTGTGTCTGGTTAGCCCAGAAGCTCACTTTGCTGTGGAGACACAGAACATGGGTTGGCCTGGGAAAGCACTGAGTAATTTTATTTGGGGACCGAGGATAGCCTTCTAGCTGGCAAAATCTTACGTAAGTAGACTGCTGACTGTGAAGGAGAATGGGCACAAGTATGTGGATACCTCCCCACGGGCAATTAAGAGCACTGGTGCCCATCCCCCTCTGAGCCTGAGCTGGTTCAGGGTTGCGGCATCAATGCTGGTGAAAGCGCTCCTTTCTGGGTAGAGCCTCCATGGCTTCACGCTGAGGTGTGTCGGGCAGCATGGCAGTCTGAAGCGTTTTCCTTTCCTTTGCTCCCATGTATGTCACTCACTTGGTTTTTATTGCAACTCGCATTAGGATAAATGCCCGTGCTCCTGCCAGACTTCTGCTGGGCAGTGCCGTTAATAAGCGCCATTGAAACCCATCTCGCTGAAACCGGTTTGGCTCAGTGGATAGAGCGTCCGCCTGCGGACTGAAAGGTCCCAGGTTCGATTCCGGTCAAGGGCATGTACCTGGCTTGCGGGCATATCCCCAGTAGGAGATGTGCAGGAGGCAGCTGATCGATGTTTCTCTCTCATCGATGTTTCTAACTCTCTATCTCTCTCCCTTCCTCTCTGTAAAAAATCAATAAAATATATTTTTTAAAAAAAAAAAGAAAAGAAACCCATCTCCATAGGCCCAGGAATGAGAGGAAAATGATGGATGCTCTCTAGGGAAAGCTGCCTGCCCAATAATCATTTTAATTACAGGAACTCCTTTGTTAAATACCCCAGCTCTGTACCGATGAAATTTAATACACGTGAATGTCTTCTTTTCCTTCTAGCTTTCCTTCCTAATTAAAAAACAAAACAAAGCTTAGCTGGTGTTTTCAGTAACTAGTGCAGACTCTGGACGGTTGTTCACTTCCCTGCCATCTCTCAGCATCCCGCTGGTGAGCTGGGTACTCCTGGAGCCTGCACTGACTTGTCAAAGCTCACCTCTCTGACTACTCCTCACTGCTCTCCTTTCCCCGCTACACTCGCCCATACACCCTTTTCATTCTCTAACACCATTTCATTTTGCCCCTTAAAATTCACCCTTTTGCCCTAGCTGGTTTGGCTCGGTGGTTTGAGCGCTGGGCCACAGACTGAAGGGTCTCGGGTTTGAATCTGGTCAAGAGGCACATACCTCAGTTGTAGGCTCGATCCCCAGCCCCAGTCAGGGCGCGTGTGGGAGGCAACCAATCGATGTGTCTCTCTCACATCGAAGTTTCTCTCTCTGTGTCTCCCCCCTCCTTTCCACTCTCTTTTAAAAATCAATGGGAAAAAATATCCTTCAGTGAGGATTAACAAAATCATCTTTTTTTTTCTTTTCTTTTTTTTTTGCATTTCCTCTTTCACCACCTGAGCCTGGGCCCTGACCTCATGCCTGGACTATTGCAGTATCCATTGCTTGATCTCCCCCCCCCCCACCCCCGTCTGCCCCCCTGGCCTCACTCTCCTGTCGGGTCTCCCATAGGCTGTTTATTGCCTCCCTCCTCGGTGAAGGCTCACAGTTTCCCTCTCACCTATACAGGCAGCTATTTGCAATGCCAGTGCCTTCAGATACACAAGATGCAGGAAGAAAATATTAGCATCTCTTCACCTCATTATTTTACAATGGTTTTGTGTCTGTTTTAATCTGTACATGATGGTATGTAATTTATAAATAAGTTACATGCTTTGGGAATGCATAACCAAAATTATGCTCACTGATAGAGGAATAGAATCAAAGTTTGGAAATCTCTGGCTCGTAGCTACTTACCCAGAATCCTCATGTTCTGTAGCCTCCTCTCCAGCCTGTCTTTCCAGCATCCACTTGTTTTTCAGGCGGATGAACTCTGACTTGTCTTCTTCACTATCCCCAAGCACACATTCGGCTTTCCTCCCTCCAGGTTGCTGTGCATACCACTCCACTTCTCTGGAATGTTCTCCCTCTCGTGCTTGTCTAAAGCATAATGGTCCTTCAAGGCCCCCTCAAACCTCATCTCTCCTCAAGGGCTTCCTGGACCAGCTCAGGACAGCCCTTAGAACAGTGGTTCTCAACCTTCCTAATGCCGCGACCCTTTAATACAGTTCCTCATGTTGTGGTGACCCCCAACCATAAAATTATTTTCGTTGCTACTTCATAACTGTAATTTTGCTACTGTTATGAATCGTAATGTAAATATCTGATATGCAGGATGTATTTTCATTGTTACAAATTGAACATAATTAAAGCATAGTGATTAATCACAAAAACAATATGTAATTATATATGTGTTTTCCAATGGTCTTAGGCGACCCCTGTGAAAGGGTCGTTCGACCCCCAAAGGGGTCGCGACCCACAGGTTGAGAACCGCTGCCTTAGAAGGTCTTGCTGTGCTATGTGTTAAAAATCACTGAATCTTCTCATTGGCATCCTACCCCTCCAGGTAGGTGATTTGTCATTGAGGACATTATCCTCTCCTCCATCAATGTGCAGGAGCTTTTTACACTTACATCAGAAAACACTTGTTTTTAAAAGTCTGTATTTTTTCATTATTTTGGATGACCTTTTCCCTACTGCTACAACTCACCTTAGCACTATTAGGAGTCTCTGTTCACCTCTAGTTAGTGTGAGCAGTGGGTTTGGTGTTAAATATGTGAGTCCAGACGTTGAAAAGTCCCAAAAGAGCAAACTTCCCAAAGGAAAGGGCATGGAGGCTGGTGGTGGAGTTGACCTAAAGCAGTCTCTCACCATATCTTTGCATGAATGGCCTTTCTGTGGTGAGTTTCCCATAATAAGGGCTTTAACTTCCACCAATAATTACCTCTTGCGGACCTGCCGTGAGCCCAGAATTACAGAGATTCCTTTGGCTGAACATACAAAACCAAGCTCATGTCAGGGAAAGGGAGGAGGGAGCAGTGGTTTGGTTTCTCAGAATCTTCTCACCAAAATTCAATTGTTCGCCCTCTCTTCTACTTCCTCCGTCTTCCCATCCCCACACATGCCCGCCGTGGGGTAGCGATGGAGCCAACAGTGGGCGGTGGTTTCCTCGGCCACATTTCTATCTTCAGGACTTGTATTCCCGCTCTTTAGCTTAGAAGAGGGTAAGACGTGGAGCCTGTAAAAATGTTGAACTTTTTATTTGACTGTAAGTACAACAGTGTGGCCCTGGCTGGGTAAGGAAGGTACAGTGCACAGATTAAGGGGAGTAGCAGTCCCATGGCACTCAGCGCCCTCAGGCACGCCTGTCCTGAGTTGTGTGTGAGTCATGCATCGGCTTCTGAACCTGGTGTTTCAAAATATTCTTGAACTCGATGGAAGTCACCCCCGAGGAGGTAACCAATACCGTGTGGTCCATGTCATTTGAGGGAAAGCTGAAGAAACTGAGTGTAGGTATGCGGAGAAGTTAGGAGAGAGAAGACACAAGAGCTGTAATCTAATAATTGAGCACTGCCCTGGGAAAGGAGGGTTTCTTTCAATGCTTCTTCGCTGCAGAGGGCGGTCCCAGACCTGTGGGTGGAGGTTATCTTAGTTCAACATAAGAAGAACTAATCAGGTGCTTTTCAATGCAGAGCCTGGGAATTTTACGGGAACATGTAGTATATGTGGACTTTATGTCTCAGGCTTGAGTTCTGTTTTCGCTGCTTGAGAGATGGCACCCCATTCTGCTCTGAGAATTCACTTGGCCCCCTAGCTCTCCCCGGAGCCACGCTGAGATCCCCATGTCTGAGTTTCAGGCCCGGAAGAGGCCTGGCTCCCTGTGTGCTCGTGGCCCAGGGCTTCCTCCCAATTGTGATCTCTGCTGTTGAGAGCTGCTGCCTGGGGATGAGGGCCGGTGCTCGCTCACCTGCGCGCAGATAAAGCCCCCAATAACCCCAGTGGCAAGTCTCCGGACATTAATGGGTACTTCTGAGTTCTCTCCTGCCAGCCTTGCTCTTTACCCAGTGCTTTTGTTTACCAAGAGAGGATGCCCACCCACTTCCCCAAACAGAGCTAACGTACTTTTCCTAGGTGTTGCTTTAAGGTGTTGTCATTAATTCTGAGGCAGGACGAAGGGCTCCCCCTGCTTTCCCTATGTGGTTTTTAATAAAGCCTTTTCTAGACATGTGGGCTGGTGCTGGTGTCAGGTATAGAAGGAAACAGAAGACCATGTGTTAGTCCTGCCTGTGCTACTTATTGTGTAGCCCTGAGCAAGTTACTGAGGCCACCTGGGCTTTGGTTTTCTCATTTATCAACAGTGCTGGTTCCGTGCACTGGAAACTAATCTCCAAAGTGTCATAATGAGGATTGAGTAAGGTGTGAACGTGCTTTGTAAACTGATAGATAAGCATCCCTCAAACCTTAGCTCTTAGCCAACTCATCGGTGCTGGGAAGGGCAGGGCAAGGAAATCTGGGCCTATTTGATCCTCTGTGGCCACACCCTGGGCACAGGGACACAATATTTGTCAGCCAGGACATTGGTGGTTGGGTGACTGTTGCTGGGTGTAATAGCTTAACAATCTGTATGATTTGGTTTTATTCCTCAAGCTTTGAGCAGCAGGGCTTCCTGCCCATGTGTGTCTCTAAACTTCCCTGAGATGCCCCCACCTGCTGGAGAGGAAGGGCTGAGCCTAAAGAAAGCCTCCTCGCTGAGCCCCTGCCGTCAGCAGCACAGCACAGTCGTTCCCTGTGGACCCTTGGCTGACGATCCTCGGCCCTGAGGGAAGGAGCAGCCAGGACTGAGCTCTTGTTCGGTCTGCCTGAGCCTGGCTCCCTGGGACTGTGTCCACCTGCCCGCCCTCTGGGACGCCTGCTTTGATAGCATTCACCTTCCTAGGTCAGCCTTGGTCAGCTGTGGTGGGCACGTAGCATGGGCAGGGCCAGGCTGCACTCGTGGGTGTGCCTGCTCTCCTTCAGATGACCTGGCCTGCTGTGTCAGCTGCAAGGTTGAACAGCAGAAGTTCAGAGTCCAGAAAAGGAGGAGTAATGGCCCCATGATATCCACTGTGAAGGTGCGTGTCTTCAGGAACTGGCTTCCTCTGATAGCCCTCTCTGGAAAAGATTGTTGAGCTTGTTGAGATAGAAAAGTTTAAATTTCTACCGGAAAATTTTTAACCCAAAGTCCCAGACCTGAAATGTCATTTGCCTGAGAAGGCTGGACTTCAGTTTTTCTCCTACCCCCACCCCAACTTGCCTGGGAATGACTGAGATCTGATACCTTTGTCCAGAGGAGAGTATACACATTTTTATAAAAAGGCGGGGCAGCTAAGAGGTTGGTGTGGTAGGTGGTGCTGGACCAACACCTTACCTGTGGTTTCATCAGATGAGCTTTGACCTCTCCCGAAGAGTTCCATAGCAAATTCAGTAAATTCTGGGGTCCTACTATGTGCCGGCTCTGAGATCAAGCACAGAACCTTCAGTCTAGGGTTAATGCTCAGCATCCCCTCCTGCCTGGGCTGTTGCAACTGTTTCCTCTCAACTTCTCTCTTTATGTGACTAACAGAGGAATCTTTTCTTTTTCTTTTAAAAAAACTTTTTAATGGTTCTTTCTTATGAATAAAAGTAACAGATGCTCGCCGAAATCGGTTTGGCTCAGTGGATAGAGCGTCGGCCTGCGGACTGAAAGGTCCCAGGTTCGATTCCGGTCAAGGGCATGTACCTGGGTTGCGGGCATATCCCCAGTAGATGTGCAGGAGGCAGCTGATCGATGTTTCTCTCTCATCGATGTTTCTAACTATCTCTCTCCCTTCCTCTCTGTAAAAAATCAATAAAATATATTTTTTTAAAAAAAACAAAAAAACTACCTTTAAAAAAAAAAAAAAGTAACAGATGCTCATTCAAGGAAAAAAATGGAAAAACGACAAGAGTACAAACAAATTATAGCATCATTCATAATAGCATCATCTACCAAGCATGTCAAACTCTCGGCCGGAGGGCCACATGCCTCCTTTAAATAAACAAGGCATGTGGCCCGCCGGCCGAGAGTTTGACATGCTTGACCTAGACATAGTATTGAACCTTCTAGACTCTTTTTTAGATAATGCAGTCATAGAGTATATAAAATCTAAGGCCTGTTTTCCTTTAGTATCTTATCAGCGAGATTTCCCCAAGTCATGAAAAGGAACATTAAGACCGATCTTTCTAAAACTTAAATTCAATGATGTGACTTCCCTGCTCAAAATCCCCCTATCAGTGGTGTTAGAAGGTAAAGTCTCTACTTCCTAATGCTCCATATAAGGCTCCCTATGGTTGGACACCCGAATACTTCTCCCGGGTTATCTATTTCACCCCTCACCTCATCTTTCCCTAGTGCCCACTCACCCCCGCCCCCGCCTCAACTTCACACCCTGCATCTCGCAGCTTCCCAGCCTGCCCGGGGGAGTTGATCCTATTCTCACAGTGCTGTCTGGAATGCCCTCCCATTGGTATATCTTTCTCAATACTCAGCCCACGTTGCCTCTTCCATGAAGCCCTTCCCTTTCTCCTCCACCCCACCATAGAGCTGCCTGTGCCTCTTTTCATCCTCCATGGTACCTCTTCTGGAAGACCACCCCTGTGCCTTAGACTATGGAGGGCAGGGAACCATATCTTACTCATCTGTGTTTCTCCAGGACTTTGCAAATAGTCAGCGTGTAGGTACATATTTGCTGAAGTACAAATAAATGATCAGTTACAACACTGCCCTGAATGCTGTGCGGGGTGTGCAAAGGGTGGTTATAGGAGCCCAGAGGAAGGGCGTTTTGTGGGTATGTGATCCAAGATCCAGCAGACAGGAAATGTGTTCATTTTTAACATGGGGTAGCCTTCCTCCACACTTAATCTACTTTTAAAACTTCTATTTGCATTTCTGTTCCCTGTCCTTGGACCAACTATAGGAGCACCCATTGTGCAACTTTTGTCCCTCCCTCCTTTGTACACCTTTTCCTTTGTCTACTGAGACCGCTGTGACCTCAGCCTGGCGGGGCAGAAGTCCTCCCTGTGGTGGTGCACAGCCCACCACTCATCAACCAGCTGCCTGCGTCCCCCCAGGAGCAGCACAGACAACTGCAAGTCACTACTAGTGGCCCTGGAGTGGGACCCAGTATCCCAACTCCAGGTAGCTAAGTCCTCAGAGGGAATCACTGTTGAGCCGGTGTAGGTATTTATAGCCAGCGCCATTATTGGAGGCAGATTGCCCAGCATACGGCTTAGCCAAACCCTTTACTTCCCTCTCCTTCCTCTCTCACAGCTTCTGCCTTCTCCGCTCCATCCCAGAGATAACCTGGGCTTCGTGCTCCTGTAGCAGGTCAGGGAGGAGGCGATGGGACCTATTTCTCTGTGTGACACTGTGGACTCCTCAGATGTCCTTCATTCTGTAAGAGTTAGAGTGGACCATGTTAAGCTGGATGCTCCACAGGACAGCCTTGTAGGCAGAGATATAAGCCTGTTTCCCAGGCCTTGCAGCCAGCATGCTGCCGGCCAACAGGCTGCAGAACAAAGGCTGTAACAGGACAACGGGGAGGGGGAAGGGAAGGGAAAGGCATGTAATCAGATCAATCACCAGCTGGGTCCCTCTGCCTGGGAGCTGGTCTCTGGTGATGGCACCAGGGGACTTGTCACATGTCATTGAAAAGCCTGCCTGTCCGGGGCTTGTTAAGCCTCAGCACCAGACACTCATTTCCTTAATAACTGGGTACAGATCCTGAACCTATAAATTTAGCTAAACTCTTCTTGACCTTTCTATATTTTTAGCCTGTGCTGCTTCTCTGGATAACGGTGCCCATGGCTGATTACTTGTTCTATAAAATACCTTCCTGTCAAGTTAAAAGGAATTCTCTTTCTCTAGCTTAGAAACCCTGTCCTCATAATTCTAGTTTCTATGTTGGTAACAAATTCCAGTTTGGCCCTCAGCGCTTTCTGTGGATTTGGGGGTCCAGTGGGGGAAAGAAGGTCAACATCTCAACTTCAAGTTTTTCAGCTTCAGGTCTTATATTCTCCACCTGTCCTCACACAGTGGCCCCTTGGGACCTCTTCCATTTTTGTTTCATTTTCCTGGACTGTATCTGCCTCTCTTTGGCCTGCGTTGAGACACAGCCGCTGAGTGAGTTCCTGACAGATGGTTTAAGTGCAGCCTAAGACCACGCCAACGTCTTCTGTTCCTACGACCTTTAGGGACACTTTTTGATCTCTGTGGCTTTCCCCTGAGGGCTGATGTCTTCAGCCTGCTGACGTGAGCCTTTCCTTCCCGCCGCAGTGGTGCTGTGGACAGGCCTGTGGGGAATTGGGACTCATCTCCCATCCTTGTTTGACGGTTGCCCACCCTGACTTCTCCCGTCGTATCATTCCTCCACGTTACTTCTGCCAATTTGCAAAATGAAATGCTAAGTGTCCCTATGTGGTCTTTCTTCCCAGGTACTTTTATTCCTCAGAAACCTGTAGAAAGGAGAGTTCTGGGCTGGTCTGCAAGTTGAGGAAAACTGAAGCGTGGAGTAATTTTAGCTTCTCTCCCTGAGGTTGCCCAGGCACCTGCAGATCTGGGATTGGAATCCTTTACCCTTAGCTCTCTCTAGGGTGCCACAGTGATCCCTTGAAAGGCCTCTCATTCCTGTAGCAACTTAATTAAAAGAAATGAAAGGGATTAATAGCTGAAAGGAAGCCCTGGGTAAATAACCTAGAAAAGGTGTTCTTAGAAAAGGCTAAATCTGTTGACCGCTTCAAAAACAATTGTAACTAATTAAACAAACATGATTTTAAACAACTAGTTTTCCTATCACTACCCTCCCCGTTCATTTGCACTTGATGCTCCTACATCTGATTTTCTTTTCTAACTGCTTGTTTGGTGTAGAATTGCGATGACTAGCTTTACCTCTGGAGCCCTTACCCGAGACAGATCACTTTGACAATTTCATTATGTCCCATGTCTGGGAAACAGGCAGGCAGCACCCCCTGACTGCCTGAGAAGGGGCTGCGCTGAGCTCCCTGCTGCAGGAAGATGGGCGTCTCTGGTCTCCTGGGGCCTCACTAGGTCCAGGATGAACAGCCTCGGCTCGGGCAGGAACACGGGGCCTTCCAGGTGACTTTCACTGTGCGCTTCTCTAAGGCTGTTCAATCTTCTCTTTCCAGAGCCTAGAAGGAGGCTCATACCGGGGAAGCTTGAAGGACCCAGCCGGCTGCCTGAATGAGGGGATGACCCCGCCCACACCTACGAGAAACCTGGAAGAAGAACAGAAAGCCAAGGCCCTGAGAGGCAGGATGTAAGTGGCCCCCCGATTCCACCCTGGTGCACGAGTGTGCGGTGGGCGATGGGCAAGGGTTGCAGTGGTTTGGCATCCCTTCAAGGGAAGAGATGCCAGGTACACTAGCAACACCCAGCCCAGCCCCCTTCCCGAGGCAGCCCTCAGTGTCTCAGTGGACAGTTTAGGATAAAAATATCACCTGGAGACAGAGCTGGACCTCATCTCCATGGGACCCTTCTAGCACCCAATTCCCACTCTAACTTGCCTGTGGGCTTCCTATGACCACTTTCTTCCAAGCAGTCACTTGGGCTGAGCTAAAGATATATTTAAGTGCTTTTATTTGGCCTTCCCAGTTCCTTCCTGTGGCCTACAACACATGATTGTGTCTCAGAAAGAGGGAGCAGTGGGCATGCTGGGCGTGCTGATAAAAAAAGCATGTGTTCCCTGCTTCCTCCCGTCGCCCGAGGCCCCAGACCCGGAATTTGGTGGCTTCTCTGTGCCGCATAGATGAAGGATTTCAGATGAATTGCTTCCTGGGTTCAGAACGGTTACAACCCTTGTGCTGGGGCCCTTCTTGACATCTCAGAACTTTATCCCTTCTGCTACTTGGGCCAAAAATGCAGTTGTGTAGCTCCAGGCAAACCTCTTTCACGCTTAGATAAAGTGTGTCAGACATCAGCACGCCGCACAGCACCTGGCCTGCACCAGGGCACAGCCGTCCGAGTCTGAGTCCAGCTCTTGATTGTCTAGACAGAAAGGAGTGTTTGGGGTTGATGCCCTGGGTACCCCTGAGAGCCAGTCCGAGCAGTTTCCCGGGCAGCAGCTACCATGAAAGTGCTCTGCTACTCACGTTGTCCTCTTGGGCAATACTGCCTGAGCCTTCTCATCTGTATACAGTGGAGCTTACAATCCCTACCTTGTTCTGAGCGTGAGAAAACCCCAGTGATGCAACTGGCAAATGCTCCAAGAAGAAATCATGAACAAAAAAGAAACCGAGAAAGCAAATGCCCTTGAAGTTGTTAAATCCTACATCTGCTGGTGGGTCAGGACGTTGAGCATTCAAAGTTGTGATTCTGGAGAGTCTGCACTCAGTCTTGCTGGCCTTGACTGGGGATTTTGCAGTCCGGTCACCATGGACACCTACTTGAAGAACTGTGGCTTCTGTATCTCAGAAGCCTCACTTGCTGTCGATGTCTCCAAGGCCTCAAAAGGGTGGTCATCAGACAAATGTCTTTCTCCTCTTGTGAGGCGAAGAACAGAGCTGAAAAGTCTCACATTGATCCCTTGGCCTCAAATCTTTCATAACTCAATTAAGCCAAAGTGGTTGTCATTCTTTCTGCCCTGTGTCTATATGGTTGTTCAGTTACACGTGAGGGAGGCAGAAGCACAAAGAATGGGAATAGGAATGCTGGGTTGTGCATGGCGTTCTTTGTCCGACTGTTGTGTGCCACCTGGGAAAGCCCTCTCAGCCTCAGTGCCCTCAGCAGTCCAGCACGGGCCTCTCGTAGAGAGAGAGAGCACCTGTAAGCCCCTTCCTGAGGGTCCCAAGTGTGGGCTTTGGGGTGGTCTTGCCACCAACGCACCAGAGTCACTTCCCTGTGGACTTAAGTGTGAAGATTCCTTGCTTCACGATTAAGAGGAACCTCATTGTTCTTCATCTCCTGCTCAGGTTTGTCCTGAATGAGCTGGTACAGACGGAGAAGGACTATGTCAAGGACCTGGGGGTTGTGGTGGAGGTGAGTGGATGGCTAGGGGTGGGTCTGCTCACCCAACCGGGGGCATATTGGGGCCCCACTGGGCCGAGGTGTTTTCTCTCCAGGTATTTGCAGAAATGAAACTAGAAATGATAATAGATGAACTTGAATATGCAGGTAAGGCTTTTTTTTTTCTTTTCCACTTGAATATTGTAAGAGATCTAGAGGGAGGTAGGGCCCTAAATGTTGCAGCCTCTTGGTTAGAACTGAGCCTCTCACCTTGTTTTAGGTGACTTTTTGTCTCAGAGCTTTTCACTGGTGTTCAACCACGTGGACATCTATTCTTCAGAGCCGTGAGCCACCGTGACCTGCACTAAGCAGGTCACTCCTAGTGATGCCTTGGGGCTTATCTGTGTTCTTAGATTTTAAGGAGAATGTTATGACTACCAAGAAGATGGACAAAGAAAAACCACCAATCAGGCAAGGTTGGCAGGTCCACAGTTCAGAGTCAACTTGGCAGTAAATAAAACAGCTCTTTCTCCATAGGGGTTTACCTTAGGGGGATTTAGACACTTGGATGAGAAAGTCAAAGAAAGTACATGGATTATTTAGATGGCTTAGAGCCCTGTGGCTAAACATCTTAAACAAATCATGTGAATGCTAAACACTGAATGTCTGCTATCTACATCCCCTGCCGGTGCCTCACATTGGACCTGTAAGTCCCCATCCTGTGAGATCTGCTGACTTAGGGTTTGTATTTGCTTATCCTGAACCTTGGATAAACAAACTAGCCTAGTGTGCAAAGGACCTGAATTCTGACTTATGGGAAGTTACTCTCTTCTCCAAGGAAGGATGGGGCTGGCAGAGGGGCAGCAGCCAGAACCTGCAGTCAGCCCAGGAGTGAGGGGCTCGGGAATCTGGAGGCTGAGCTGCAGGGCAGTCAAATGTCGGTGGTGGAACTGTAAGACAGAGCACTGACTCCCCAGTGTCTCAGCTTCTCATCTGTCAGACGGGGTACATGCTGCCTATGCAACCTCAAAACCTGACTTAAAAGCTAACGCAAGATTATACATGACTAGAGGCCCAGTGCACGAAATTTGGTAAACCGGCAGTTGGACATTCCTCTCGCAATCTGGGACCACTGGCTCCTAACCACTTGTCTGCCTGCCTGCCTGATTGTCCTTAACTGTCTCTGCTTGCCTGCCTGGTCATCCTCTAACTGCCCCCCTGCCAGCCTGGCCGCACTCTAACTGCTCCCCTGCCAGCCTGGCCACCCCCTAACTGGTCCCCTGCTAGCCTGGTCATCCCCTAACTGCCCCCCTGCTGGCCTGGTCACCCCCTAACTACCCCCCTGCTGGCCTTGTCACCCCCTAACTACCCCCCTGCTGGCCTGGCTGCCCTCTAACTGCTCCCCTGCCAGCCTGGCCACCCCCTAACTGGTCCCCTGCTGGCCTGGTCATCCCCTAACTGCCCCCCTGCTGGCTGGTCACCCCCTAACTACCCCCCTGCTGGCCTTGTCACCCCCTAACTGCTCCCCTGCTGGCCTGCCCCCCACCCCAACTATCCCCCTGCCAGCCTGGATGCCCCCTAACTGCCCCCTTGCCAGCCTGGTCCCCCCCCCAACTACCCCCCCGCTGGCCTGGTCCCCCCTAACTACCCTCCTGCCAGCCTGGTCACCCCCTAACTGTCCTGAAGGAAGTCAGACATCTGGAAGATGTCCGGTTGACCCAGTCTAATTAGAATATTACTCTTTATTAGTATAGATAGCCTTTTATAGACTCTTAAGTATTAACACAGTGAGACTTATTTCTAGGCCAGATGTGTCTAGTTCTGAGCCTTTAAAGACATAGACCTCAGATTGGGAGAAGAAAGAGGGGCAGGCGACTTCTTCTTTATTCTGCTTTCTTAGAAATTCATAGAAGTTTTGTGTCTCACTCTGCACAAGGGTGAAGTCCTGGTTGAATAGTGAGAAACCACAGGGGCGCTTGCCCTCAAACTCCTGCAGAAAGGCCTGCAGTGTGGTGCTCACCCAGAAAGCTTTCTCGTAAAAACTGCTCAGCTCCTCATTGCCTCTGTCCACAGGGCTTCATGAAGAGGATAGAAGAAAAGGGTGTCCCTGAGGACATGCGAGGGAAGGACAAAATCGTGTTTGGAAACATTCACCAGATTTATGATTGGCATAAGGAGTAAGTACTACATCATCCTGGGGATCCGGGCATCCTAGAATCCAGGCCTCTCCCGCCCTCACCCCACATCTGACCTTAGGGCCAGGGTTTGGGGAGAGATTTCCATCATTTACCTCAGCCTTGAGAAGTTACACAGTGCTGAAGAATGTGGCTTCCTTTTTTAAAAATTTTATTTTATTGTTTAAGGTATTACAAATAGTAGTACATATGTCTCCTTTTTTCTTTTTCCCCATTGACCTCCCCCTGGCCTCCCCTACCCCCCGGCACTTGCCCTCACACCCCCAACCCCAGTGTCTTGCATCCATTGGTTGTGTTTATATGCGTGCATACAAGTCCTTCGGTTGCTCTCTTAGCCCTTCACCCTCCCTTGCCTTCCCACTGTAGTTTCACAGTCTGTTCGATGCTTCTTGGCCTCTGTATCTATTTTTGTTCAACAGTTTATAATGTTCTTTATATTTCTGGCTTCCTTCTTTCATCCCCTCCCTCCTTTTAGTTTTTTCCTGGCCGAACTGGAAAAATGTATCCAGGAGCAAGACAGATTGGCCCAGCTCTTCATTAAACACGTGAGTGTTTCCTGCGCCTTCTTCCCCTCCCCTTACACCAGCCTCACTTCTATGCATTTTTATTTTTTTAATTTTTTAAATATGTTTTTATTGATTTCAGAGAGGAAAGGAAAGGGAGAGAGAGATAGAAACATCAATGATAAAAGAGAACCATTGATTAGCTGCCTCCTGAATAACCCCACTGGGGATCAAGCCCGCAACCCGGGCATGTGCCCCGACTGGAAATCAAACAATGACCTCCTGGTTCATGGGTCGATGCTCAGCCACTGAGCCACACAGGCCAGGCAACTCCCATGCATTCTTAAATCCCTCTCTCTGCGGCTATTCCTCTAAACCTTTCTCTGAGTTGTTTCACTGTCTCGGCAGTTTGGAGATAGGCTCTTGCCACTCCATTCCCTCCTCTGCCCTTGATATGTCATTGCCCTGGTGCATCCCCAGAGTGTGGACCGTGTGTTTTTCCCCCGTCGTGTAGCCCAGCACAGCGCTCTTAGACTCAGGTTCCGCGTGAGGCGGGAGGTGTCTGAGCGCCTGCCTCTGCCCTTGCAGGAGCGGAAGCTGCACATCTACGTGTGGTACTGCCAGAACAAGCCGCGCTCCGAGTACATCGTGGCCGAGTACGACGCCTACTTCGAAGTAAGCTGCACCGGCTTTGCTGGTGGGAGCGGGGGGAGGGGGGATTCAGGCCGAGACAGCCGCATTCAGAAACAGCAGCCATCATCCAAGACAGCGGCCGCTGCCTCGACACAGCTGTGAGCTTCTTAGCTCGATTCCCAGGAGCCCCCTTGCTTGGGAGGAGCTGGGGGCCCGAGCCTGTGGACTGCTTTCAGAGGCCTCGGTACTCAGAGTTATTGTGGTGCAGAGGCTGCTTCCAAAGCCGAAGCTCAGGCCTCCTCCCCGGGCCCCAGGGCAGACTGTGCCCACACTGCTCTGCACCAGCCCTGGAGGCTGCCTGCTGAGGGCCCCCACCTTGCTGAGGTGCTCGCAGGCACCTCGTAGTCTCAGCTTCCGTCCCCAGAGGTTCTGTCAAGCACCCGAAAATGTTTGCTCTGCCCCAGCCTGGAGGAGAGGCAGCCATCACTTGGGAAGAGCGTTTGCAGATCTGAGTTGAGGGCCCCAGGCTTGTGTCCTAGGAGAAGCCCTTCATTCCCCTGGGCCCTGGAGCAGGAGAGAGAACAGAATATCCATTCCTGCTCGTCCCCCGGACCTGAGCCAGGACACAGCTATGACAGGGATAGACAGGCAGAGGGTAATGGTGTGTGTTCTGTTATTAGTAACAAATTAGCAGTAGTGTAGGCAGTTCTGCCTCTTGCGTGGTTTGAAGATTCTGAAACTTGAGTGGCAAGCATGACGGCCTGTCTTCCTGGCCTTGAACCCTGACCTAGAATACCCCAAGTCTGTGGTTCCTTTTTTTTCTAATACCACTTCCCTTGTGTTCCAGGAGTTGAAACAGGAGATAAATCAAAGGCTGACGCTTAGTGACTTCCTTATCAAGCCCATTCAGAGAATAACAAAATATCAGCTGCTTCTCAAGGTAAGAGGGCTGGGAGCCTGGGTCAGGTCCAGGGAAGGGTCTTCATGGCTCTGAGCTAGCAAACAGGTTAGCTATGGTCCTGTCTCCACCACATTATTCCGTGGACTCGTGGGGGCACATGTGGGCTTCTATCTTGGCTGGCGGTTACTTGTGTCTGCTTTGCTCCCAAGTAGATTGTATACCTGTTGTTCCTGCCTTTAAGGTTGGTTAATTCATTTTCTTTTTTTTCAATGTCTTACTTTGTCACCATCACTGACTCGGTACCTTTAATAAATTAAAAAATAACAAGAGCATAAAATCAGAGTGGAATATAGGTGAAAGGAAAGGCCCTAGAAACCTTAGATGAGTGATACCTAAAATTTAACCATGTTTTACTTTTTGTAATGGTTTAATTTATCTTACAGAGAAGGAGGTACACGGTAGAGACTTAACTTCCTTCCTCCCTCCCTTTTCTCAGAGTGTTGAATTTTTGCGTATCCTGGGGCTTCTCTGTGATACATGTACAATATGACTCATAGCCTCATATCCCAGCTACTACACAGCATCACCATCTCTATGGGAAAGGAATGTCTCTAGGTGTTGCCACCATGTCTGTGGTGCTGGGTTTTTATAGCTCTATTTTCCTAACTGATTTCACCCTCCCATACCCTTTCCCACCTCCCTGACCTACTAGGACTTCCTGAGATACAGCGAGAAGGCGGGTTTGGAGTGTTCAGAGATCGAGGTGAGTTTCCTGCTTGTGATGCTGACTGTTGTAGGGACAACTGTTGGGTGTCTGTCTCTAAAGGGGAAAGATTGGTTCTGGAGACCGAGGGTCCAGGCTGGCTCCTCTAAGACAGTAAGAGCCCCTGGCAAGCAGCTGCTGAGCAGGATGTGGAACAGCGAGTATTAATTAACACACGGAGTTAATCCTGTCCTGGGCCAGGTCAGAGCTCAGCCCCACTGGTGTTCTGCTGCGGCCCCCAGGGACACGTGGTGGAAGGGATGGTATGTGAGGCCTCTGACATCCTTCAGAGACTGGCTGTTTCATGTGCAGCTTTGTCCATGAACCCGGGCACTATTTGAGTCTAACGTACAAAGTATTTTGTTTTCACTCCCTTCCCGCCCCCAAAGATTACTCCTTAAGCGAAGTCCTTTGAGATGGTGTCACCATGGGGATTGTTTTAAGGCAGACCATTCTGGAAGGTTATTTTAGGTTAAAACCTCCAGTGTTTCACAAGCCAGGCTAAGCTGTTGCTTGGGCAGCTAGAAAACAACAGAGAGAAGAAAGAACATATAAGAAGGAGAGGGAATTGATAACCAAAAGTGGGAAGGTAGGAAAAAGGTGGGCTGGGCAGCATTCTCCCCACACGTGGTCACTGATTCACGTGTTGCCCCTGCACTGGTGACCAGCAACTTCCCCCTCCCACCCCTCACCCCCAAGAACAGACAATCTCGCAGTCCTCCGGGACCAGTGTCGTTTCCTAGAATCAAGGAACTACCAGGAGGTCCCTGCCTTCCAGCATGAAATTGCCCTGAGCTTCCCCTTCCCCCTCCTGAGCTGCTGTTTTTCTTTCCGACAGAAAGCAGTGGAGTTAATGTGCCTTGTTCCAAAGCGCTGCAATGACATGATGAATCTGGGACGCCTGCAGGGCTTTGAGGTGAGCCCCCACGAATGCGCCTAAGCTCTGTCACTGGGCCTCAGGAGCCCCGGGGGAGGCGGCTTTCTTTGAAGTCCTGTGCCCGCCTCCTCTGCCTCCTTTGCCCCATCTACTCCTCTATGCCCGCCTGGCCTCTCTGGTGCACAGGCCTCGATGCCTCATCTGTGTAGGATTCCCAGTGACAGCTCAGTCATAGAAAGTCACAGAGCAGTCATCCGAGCTGGAGTCAGAATTGCAGGAGGGTTGGAAAGACCCCACGTTGTTTATCACTGTGGACCTGGCACTGGCCTCTTCCCTCTTCTCCTGCTTGAGGCTTGCGAGCTGTGTGAGGGGAGCAGCCTCTGTGACGGGAATAGAACCAGGGGGAAGTGGAGCACTTTTTTGAGAGGGTAGCTCTAATTGACAGGCCTACCTAGTGGCTCGGTTAAACAAACACTCAAAGCCCTAAGACATCAGAGTGCACGCTTCTGTTCTTTAAAGAGGAGAATCAAATTTTAGGACAGACAGCTAGGATTTTGGTTACAGACAGTGGACTAGCCTAATCGGACTGCCATGAAAAAGTACCACAGAGTGGTGGCTTCAACAACAGACTATCCTTGTAAACAGCCGTTGAGCAGGAGGAGGAGAGGCGAGTATTAATTAACACATGAGTATTTTTCTAGAACTCGAGAATCCTGTTCAACTCATTTCTATTAACTCATTTCTATTAACTCATTTCTAGAAGCTAGAAGCCCACACTCAAGGTCAAGGAAGGTGGTTCCTTCTAGGACTGTGAGGAAGGGGTCTGTCCAGGCCTTGCTCCTTGGCTGGTAGATGGCCGCCTTCATGTGCACATGGCATTCTCCCTGTATCTTCACATCGTCTGCCCTCTGTGTCCTAATTTCCTCTTTTTATAAAGACACCCGTCATCCTCGAATAGGAATCACCGTAATGGCCACACATTAACTTTTTAAGGACCCTGCCTCCCAATAGGGTCCCATTCTGAAGTCTGGGGGTTATGGCTTCAACATGTGACTTGTGGGGGATACAATTCAACCATAACAGTGAACCTTTAAAGAGCAAATTGATTTTTCTAATTTAACTTAATAAGTGGCTGTTGTTAGCTTATACCCAAACATTATATATTCACGAAACATAATCTGTTGAGTATCAATATGGTAACATTGGAACGGACACAGTTATTGACTGGTACGTAGTTGTTGAGCTCTGTAGAGAGAGAGGTGAATCTTCCAGTCCTGTTTCCCCGGTAATCCTGTCATCTAAGATTTCATTATTCCTTTTTTGGAGAAAAGGGAAGATTTCTGAAAGTTGACATAATTAATAAAGTAATAGCCTTTTTTCTTCTGGCTAAATTAAAAGAGGTAGACTAGACTAGATATAAGGCGGACTGGCCCATAAGTAAATTTCAAAGATGCTATATTCAGCTTTGGGTTCTTGAGTTGGATCCATGGTGTTCTTGAGACAAATTCTTGTGTCCTCCTTGCCCTTCCAGCCCATCCTGGTGTCCATGTCTGATCTCCATTGCTTTGTTGTGTCCAGGAAGTATATGGAGGGTCTTCTTTGCTATTCTTTTTGATAGGTTCCCAGTTGTCCCCAGTAGACCTAGGAGGAGAGTAAGAGGGATACACAGCAGCAGCATATCTGACTTCTTACACAGTGCTTCTTTAGTCATCCTAGGTGAAGTTTATACCTTTTCCCTTGGAGTTATGCCAGGGCTGAGACTATTCTGAACAAGGCAAATAACTCCTTTTGCTCTTAAACCTTGATGGCCCATGTTTTCTGAGCAAGAGCCTGGCTTGACTTTCTCTTGGTCTCTGAGGAGACCACTGACAAGAGGATCAGCATCTGATTCGCTGCCTGATTCACGTCAGACTTCACAGGAACTGTGCCCTGACTGGGAATTGAACCGGCCACCTTTTGGTTCATAGGTCGATGCTCAACCAACTGAGCCACACTGGCCAAGGCAATTATTCTCTCTTTTAAATCAAGTACCACTATCTGCATTTTTCCTCTAGCCCCAGAGAATCTGCTTTGCATTCCTTCAGCTAATTGGAAAGGATCATGAACATATTTCCATTCCTTCTGAAGTCCATGGCTTTGGGCCAGGGAGGAGGTAGCCCCTTCACTTAGATTCCCTCCCTTTTAAATCCTCTAGCTTTCCCTTGAGCATCAGCAGGGCTATAACTTATGGGTCAGGCTTTTATGTAGTATTAATAGAGCTTTTAGAGCTTTCCTGGCTTGCTAGTCACCAGCTTAATATTAACTTTGGGCCAGGGTAGAGATAAGCCTGTTTGGCTGATGACCTTGACAATGAGGAGCCATGATCCAAGCAGAAGGAAGGTGTTTCTCAGGAATATGAAAGGAAGATGAAAGCCCTGGCCATGTAGCTCAGTTGAGTAGAGCATCGTCCTGACACACCAAGGTTGCAGGTTCGATCCCAATCAGGGCACATACAAGAATCAACCAATTAATGTTGGTTGGCTCTAGGCACAGTTTCTGTGAAGTCTGACGTGAATCAGGCAGCGAATCAGATGCTGATCCTCTTGTCAATGATCTCTTCAGAGACCAACAAATGGAACAACAAATTGATGTTTCTCTTACTCTCTGTTTCCCTCTCTCCCTTTCTGTCTTCCTCCCTCCTTCCACTATCTCAAGAAATTAATGGGAAAAATATCCTCAGGTAAGGATTAACAACAAAAAAAGAAGGATCACAGGCTCTGGCCCATGTGGTTCAGTTGGTTGGACATTGTCTTGTGCACTGAAAGGTTGACAGTTCAATTCCCAGTCAGGGGCACATATACAGGTTGCAGGTTCAATCCCCAGTTGGGGGGCATGCAGGGGGCAGCCAATCGATATCTTGCTCTCACAATGATGTTTCTCTCTCTCCCTCTCCCTTCCTCTCTCTCAAAATCAATTTTAAAAAAAGGATTATGGATCCGAAAAAAATACCTACCAGCTTATAAAATTTGGGCATAAATCTAGGGGACTCAAACTTTACCTGTCAGCCTGTAGGAGCCTAGGACTTGAGAATTCCCTCCATTTTGAAATAATAGAAGAAAAGAGGGGCCCAATGCATCAGATTAGGTATGGTTGTGCCTACATCACTTCTCCTGGCCGCGGTTGGCTCTAGACTCCTGGCCACTAGAGGACTCCAGGTCCTTGGCCCATGCTGCAAGAAAGCCAGGCAGTCACACTTCTCAGAGCTTCAGGCACAGAAAGGTCACTTTGAGCTCCAAGTGTCACTTCCTTTCTGTTTTCCTTCTAATAAAACATAAGCAGGGCCAGTGTCATTTCTGAACATCTCTTTAGTGAATAATCTTACCTTCCTTCTGGCATTACCCTTAGGCTGCTTCTTAGTAGTTCTGTAGCCTCCTTTCCCTTTCCGTTTCTCTTCACAGCCCTTGTGGCTGCCCCAGATGAATGGGCCAGTCCTAATTCAGGCTCTTATTAAGCCCAGAGGGTTTGGGTATCACATCTGCTGTCCATGTCCATTGAGGGGAGAATCTGTGGACCCAGAGGGCTGTGGTAGTCTCCCCGTTTTTCATTTGCTTCACCCCAGCCCTTCTCTCCATCAGGGCACACTGACCGCTCAGGGGAAGCTGCTGCAGCAGGACACGTTCTACGTGATTGAGCTGGATGCGGGCATGCAGTCCCGGACCAAGGAGAGGCGTGTGTTCCTCTTTGAGCAAATTGTCATCTTCAGCGAACTGCTCAGGAAGGGCTCTGTCACCCCGGGCTACATGTTCAAAAGGAGCATCAAGGTGAGGATCCCGTGGGGGTGAGAAGGCACGAAGAAGAGCCAAATTTGTCCCTAAGACAGAGGCATGGAATGAGTCAGGATCCTGAACATTGAAGATCTTTCAGCCTCCTGACCTTTCGGGCATGAAGGCTGAGCATCTGTGGGAAAAAGTGACAGGGGAGTGCCCGTCTGCAGCAGGATCCTGCAGGTCTCCAAGACAGAGACCAAAGTACTTAGCTGTTGGATCCAGGGTCAAATTTTGGAAACACCTCCTGAAATAGAAACTTCGCGGAACTGTGATACGTTGTTGATTTTTATTAAACCGCTTACATATGAACAGATCACCTTGGTATCTTCCAGATGAATCACTTGGTCCTGGAGGAGGACGTGGACCATGACCCCTGCAAGTTTGCGCTCATGAACAGGGAGACTTCGGAGAGGGTCATTCTGCAAGCCGCCAATGCTGACATCCAGCAGGCCTGGGTGCAGGACATCAGCCAAGTCTTAGAAACACAGCGAGACTTCTTAAATGGTGGGTCCTGGGCCTGGCTTCTAGCGGGGCAATTTCATGGCACCCCACACCCCTGAGCTTCCTTGGGTCTGGGCTTATGGTGAGTTCTGAGCCCAGGTCACATTTTATATGGAGGTCAACTTAGTTTTCAGAAACACTTTGTTTAGAATTTTTCTAATTAGCATCAGAACCTGAATGTACAAGGGTAACAGATGGAGCATTATAAAGAAGCCCCATCTCTCCAAGGGCAGGAACACTCCCTTATAGCCAATACATAGGGCATGTGCCTCGTGACCACCATTACCAGCTGGTCATAATTGGGGCAAAAGTCAGAGGCAGGCACCACCTCTTTCCCTGAGGGGCCGACATCAGTGACATGTCTTCCCCTTTGGTGGCCGAAGCTGGTTCGCTCACAGGTTCTCCAGTGTTATCGAGAGACTAGGAATTTGGCAGATCAGTTCAAATGCCCCTTCTGCTCCCAACAGTGTGAGAGCTTGGACAAGCCCTCTCTTCCAATAAGAGGTGATCACACTCAAAATTTCAGTAATACCTTGAACTTCCTAGAACAGATTGATGATGCAGAGAATGTAGCTCTCTGTGGACCTTGCAGGAGTGCCCCTAATGGGCTGTGTGGTCTGGAATAAAGTGGAGCCGCTATCTTATTTACATTGTTTTATTTGTTTTCCCTGCGGGGATCTTCTTCACGTTGAGCTTGGCGTGGGAAAGGAAGTGTACAGGGTTAAACTAGTGGTAATCTGTGCAGTTACGAGCTTAGATGTCTCTCTGAGCAGAAATGGAGCTTGAAGATGAAGACAAAATATAGCTAGTAACAAAGCAAGTCTGGAGACTCAGCAAGCACATAGGGCTGTATGTGCTTACGCATACACACACACACACACACACACACACACACACACACACACCCCTCCCTCCACTGTGTCACCTCCTTGCCAGCACCACAATCCGGAACCTGTCAAATGATGCAAATGGAGCATTTGTCGATGTCTAGCATAGGCCTGAGTGCTGTGGGGAAAGGTTAAAGGTGACACACTAGTTGAGGACCTTTCCTTGGACCTCAGCTCATTTTGTGAAAAGGAGAAACAGTGGGCTTCGCCCACACTGGCATGTGCCATGGCGTGCCAGCCACCCTGGAAATAGGAAAACATGGCACACCTCCCTGCAGTATCAGTTTTACTCCACGATAAGAGGTTTAACACATTGTGTTTATTTTAAAACAAATAAAAAAATTATATCAAAGGATGCCGTGACTTCTTGAGATAGAGCATGGGACTTAGAAGCAGTTTCACACTTACAGAAAGTCTTTCTGGGTCATGTCCCCCAACTATAGAATACCTTGGGGGGAAAAATTAAGTGATCTCTAGGTTTATTTTCATTCTAAAAAGTCTAAAATTAAACACCAGCCTAGCCCTGAGGAATAGTAATGAAAGTTGTATATAATTTACAGTGTCTGAATATACAACTGTGAATTAACACTTATGCTGATAAAATAACTTTATACAAAAAAAAGTGCATATATAAAATACATTTATTAAATTTCACTCTATCAGGAATTTCTGATAGACTCTAAGCTGGAATGAGGTTTTTACGTTCATTAATTCAGGACAAAAGAAAAATAAGGGAGGAGAATAAAATTGAAACCAGAAATAATTGAAATAGCGGCTGCCATCCTTTCTCTGTGCCAGGCACCATGCTAAGCATTTCACATGTATTATCACATTTAATCCTCACATCAACATGGGAAGATAAGTACTGTCATCATATATTTTTAAGGTGAGGAAAAGAGGCTCAGAGAGGTTAAGAAACTTGTCCAAAGTCACAAAGACAAGGACTTGAACCCAGAACTGTATAACCTAAAATTAGGTTCTTAACCACAAAGCTGCAATAGAGTTGCTAGTGTAGAACACACATTTATATGTGAGCTCCCTCACCAACAAAGCAAAGAAAGAAACAGGATCAGGTATAAGCACTGTATCCACCAGCCAGAAACAAACCCTGTCCGTAGATGCACAGCTTTCCCCATCCAAAGGCCTAAGTTATGCACATTGAGGCTGGTGGCAGAACACAGGCTCTGGAGGTGGCTTATTTAAGAACTAGAGGCCCGTTGCACGAAGATTCGCGCAATAGGCCTTCCTTCCCCTGGCTGCCGGCACCAGTTTTCCTCCAGCACCCGGGACCCAGGCCTTTGGTCCAGCTGCAGCAGCGAGGCTTGGCTTCTCCGCTCGAGCTGCAGCAGCGAGGCTTGGCTTCTCTGCTCCAGCTGCAGCGGAAAAGCCAAGCCTCTTCAGTCTTCAGTCATCTTCAGTCTTCAGCCTTCAGTCATCTTCAGTATTCAGTCATCTTCAGTCTTTGCTCCACGCCTGCATAAGCAAATTAACCGCCATCTTTGTTGGATTAATTTGCATACCCATCCTGATTGGCTGGTGGGCGTAGCAGAGTGACACCAATTTGCATGTTTCTCTTTTATTATTGTAGATATAGACTCGATTCAAACATTTGAGCACCCCAACTCCATGTAGCAGGTATTTCTTTGGGAGGGCAGTCTGACAGGGCCTGCTTCACAACTCAACTTAAGTCTCTCTACATAAAGCATAGAACTGCATTCCTTTGAGCAGTCAGTGATTCAGACTTTGCCCTGGTTCCAAGAGACTTGTCTCCTAATGTTAGTGAATTATGGAACTATTGCTGGGCCAGATTATAGACACCTAGTATCTAAGCCCACAGAGCTCTCTCCAGGGAGAAAGGCCGGGCTCCGGCAGAGCCTGCTCTGTACTTGGACACACTCGGGAGACAAGGATGTGACGATGGCCAAGGGCCAGGCCTGCTTACAGAGTCCTGTGCGGGCATCTCAGAGCCCATCTTTCCCTCCTGAGACCGCAAATAGGAAGGCAATGTGGCCAATGTTGGGTCCTGTTGAAGTTCATACCGATCACTATAGAAATACTCTAATAATGGGAAGTTCTCTGGGCCCCAGCTGGTAACCCATGGAAGTATTTGTTACAGTGAAGACTGATAAAACCAGCATTATTGGGCCAGTCCTTGATGTCGTCATTACAGAGTTTGACCTCGGTGGCCTTTGACTGGCTGTACCTCTTTAGGACTCAGACCTTGGAACTTTGTTATCTTAAACTCAGTGAAACAAAGCTCATGTCATTTCTTTCAAATCAGCTTTTCCGCTGTCTCCCTTCTCCCAGTCTCCAAACCAGTGTGACCCTCGATTCTTGCCTTCTTTACCCCCTAGGCGGGGTCGGAGTCTAGTCTGCCTCCAGAACACTTGCCACAAGAATCCCTTCCACATGCCCACTGCTGCTGCTTGAGTTGGGCCTCTTGCTTGTTTCTGTCTCAGCCTCTCCAATCTGTCTTCCCAACTGCTTCAAGGTTAATGTCCTCCAAGCCTGGCTGTGGTGAGAGAGTCTGAATTTAAAACGTTCACATTCATGAATCCAGTCACTTTTCATGATCTTCAGAATCAAATCCAGACTCGTGAGCCTTGGCTTTCTAGGTCGTTCGCACATGGCACCTCTGCCTCCCACACCTGCTTCACCTTCTCTTCCACGGAGACCCATGGCCCGGTGCTCCACGTAATGGTTCCATCCTGTTCCCCAGGCACACGCCACACTTGCTTCCTTCCTGCAGAGCCTGCACGGCACAGCCTGACAGCCGGACCTCCTCTGAAGTTCTTTATCGCCACCACCTGTACACAGGCACCCACACCACACACTCCCTCCTTTCGCACAACACTTTGCACCTCACCTACAGCAACTACTTGGGCTTTGTATTTTCATTATTCAGGTAGGTTTCTTAGTTCTCACAGTAGATAGGTTCCTTAACAACAAGGGTAGTGTCTTCCTCCTGTATCCCCATTGTGCCTGGCATGGAGCCTGTACCTAAGAAGCTCCCAAACCCTGCAGGATCCCCAGAGCTCAGAGTAACCGTCGCTCTTCTCTGCAGCACTGCAGTCGCCCATTGAGTACCAGCGGAAGGAGAGGAGCTCAGCCGTGATGAGGGCACCGCCTGCCAGGACTCCCCAGGCCAGCCCACGGCCCTACTCCTCCATCCCTGTGGGCTCTGAGAAGCCCCCAAAGGGCTCCAGCTATAACCCGCCTCTGCCACCCCTGAAGATATCTACCTCCAATGGCAGTCCAGGGTTTGACTACCACCAGCCTGGAGACAAGTTTGAGGCCAGCAAGGTAAGTGACAGCCCATGGGTTCCATTCTTGCCAACCTGAGGGCATGGCCTCAGGGCTCACTGTAGGAAGTAGCATCTTTTTGTGCTGATCATTTGAGCAGGAACAGCCCACTAGATACGAACTAGTCTCAATTATTCCTCTTTCTTCTCTGCAAGTTGAGTGTGTTAGATCAGTTCCCCCTGGCTCAGAAACTGTGTTCAAGAGCAGTAGTCATCAGCAGAAACTCCATAAAAGTATAAGGTGTTACCATAGTCACAATTATGAAAACAGGTGATTTACACCAAATAGAGAGTTGTGGTGTAGGTCATCTAAAAGGCACCACTCTGGTGTTTGACATTTTAAAGACATTGCCTTTTCTAATGATGAGCTGCCGAAGTGACTCACAGTTCTTCACCACCCACTGGTTAATGTGGCAAGAAGTCACTTGTGTGTGTGAATGGGGAAGCCAGTCTTGGATTAAACACTTATCATTGATAATCCATCATGCAGATATCACCATGAGGACAGCCACAGACATAAGTGTAGACTCATTCTACACAGTTGCTTTCATCCCACCAGGTAGTAGGAGCAAGAGAACAAATAGGAAAGATGAGGAATTAGGGAATCTGGTTTCCATTCCAATTCTGCAACTCACTTGCTCTAGAACAGGGGTGGGCAAACTTTTTGACTCGAGGGCCACAATGGGTTCTTAAACTGGACCGGAGGGCCGGAACAAAAGCATGGATGGAGTGTTTGTGTGAACTAATACATGTTAACACTGCTGCTGGTGAAGGAGTGGAGGGGAGAGCAAGAGAACCCTCTGCTTTTTCGGCTCCGCGGGCCGGATAGAACAGCCGAACGGGCCGGATCCGGCCCGCAGGCCGTAGTTTGCCCATGGCTGCTCTAGAACCTCAGCAAGTTAGTGAATCAGATTAGGCCTCAGTTTCCTCTAAAACTCAGTGGGTCGGTGAATAGGAACATTTTGGTGTTCATGTTCTGATTTTATTCTTTTTACCTCAATTATCCTATATAATAAAGAGGTGATATGCAAATTGACTGTCACACCCTTGCACAAGATGGCTGGCAGGGAAGGGCAGTTGGGGGTGACCAGGCCGGCAGTGGGGGCAGTTGGGGGCAACTGGGCTGGCAGGGGAGGGCAGTTGGGGGCGATCAGGCCAGCAGGGGATCAGTTAGGTGTCGATCAGGCTGGCAGGGGAGTGGTTAGGGGGTGATCAGGCTGGCAGGCAGAAGCGGTTAGGGGCAATCAGGCGGGAAGGTGAGCGGTTGGGAACCAACAGTCCCAGATTATGAGAGGGATGTCCCAGATTGGAGAGAGTGCAGGCTGGGCTAAGGGACAGCCCCCCCCCCCCCCCAGTGCACAAATTACGTGCACTGGGCCTCTAGTTAGATGACACTGATTTTTTTTTTTTAATTAACAGTGTCTGACTTCAGTTCTGTATTAAAGTAACTGTACCAATCTATTTTATCACATCACCTAGAAATGATGTTCCATCTTAAAACCCCCTGCTCTTGTGCATAAGTTAAAGTCACATTGGCATTTTGTCAAGCTTTTTGAAGAATTTCTGGCTCTCACCATGCTCTGTGAGGCAGCCAGGCCTCCCTGGGACATACAGGTCTGTCTAGAAGCAGCTTCCCTGGTGGAGAGCCATGTGAAAAGGCCACAGAGGCAGGGCCACTGCATAAATGAGAATAGGGGAAACTGGAGGAGTTCTGTCCCCACAGGAGTTAGAGCAGGATAGGTCATGACCTTGCCTTTGAATTGGGCAAATGGCTCATTGTTACTCCTGTCTCAGGAGGGTCAGAATGTAGGAACAGAGTAAGACCAATGTTTTTTCAAAAGGAAGAAAAAAGTGTATCAAAGGGTCTGTGTTCTTTCCACTTGGGGTTATGACCTCTAGCTTGACCTTTGCCCTGACCTCACTTTGCCCAGGTGCTCATGGACCCCTGTGCCAGTACCATGCTTTTCCTTCCATTAATCAGAGGACATAGTCAGGAAGGTTGCATGCTAGGGAGGGGCTTGCAGGTGGAAGGTGTGTTTACATCTTTACCTAGGCCAGCAGTATCTCTACCTGTTCACCCTTGATTATACAAGGTGTCCCCCCAAAAATACATACACACTTTAACACCTGATTGCTCAACTTTGAAAATGAAATGTATTTTAATAAGCACTGCCTTTATCATTATTCAAAGTGTGTGTATACATTTTTGGGGGGGGACACCCTATATGTTGTATGAAACAAGAGTATGTTTATGAATATAATGTCATTACTCAAGATCATCTTCCCCTGCTAGTGGGAGGGTGGGCTTTTACCCACACGGGATGCAGAGCAGGCCATGTGCCCCAGCCTTCTTGTATCTGGGTCCCTCTCGCCCTGTCTCCCAGCAGGGCGACCTGGGAGGCTGCAATGGGACCTCGTCCATGGCCGTGATCAAAGATTACTATGCACTGAAGGAGAATGAAATCTGTGTGAGCCAAGGTGAGGTGGTCCAGGTCCTCGCCGTCAACCAGCAGAACATGTGCCTGGTGTACCAGCCTGCCAGCGACCACTCGCCCGCAGCCGAGGGCTGGGTCCCGGGCAGCATCCTGGCGCCCCTCACCAAAGCCACGGCGGCGGCAGAAAATAGTGACGGGAGCATCAAGTAAGTGCCTCGGTGGCTTCCCCGGGAGAGGAGTATGTGGATGTAAAAAATTCCAAAACAAACCAAGAACACAAAAATGCAAACACACAGTAGGGAATTACTGCTGCTTACTCACGACAGCGCCACCAACGGAAGTGATGCTTGAGGGCTCAAGAGCCACCGCAGCCCGGCGTCCAGGCTGGATTGTCCCGAATCTTTTGTTTTTGTGGATGGATGGTAGTGGCGGTGGTTCTCCTTTCCATTTTGTTTATAATTTTTGTTCGTTTTTCCCCCCTCTCCCTCTCGCTAAGAAAAGAGCCCTACTGAGACCCTAGGTGACAGCATGCCTTCCGTGGCTCCACCTGGCCCACCGCAGGATTCACTGGACTGGACTTCTATTTATATTGGATTAAGTTGCTGATATATATATATTTTTTTTTTTTTGATTGACACCAAAAAATTACCTTAGCACAAATGCCAGACCTGTGCAGGTCAGAGGCCCGCTGCTTCTCCCAGGAGAGAGGGAACTTTTTGGTTGTCTATGGCAATTCCTCTGTACAGATTGTACTTTTTTTTTTTTTTCAATTTCCCCTCCCCTGTGCGTTTAATATATGTTCATGGTCATTTGTAAGATATTTCTTTTCCTTATTTTGGTTGCAAAGACCCTTCCGAACACATTCCTGTATAAAGTATTTTGCACTATTTAAAGAAACCCATATGGATGAAGTCAGGCTGTGCAATATAATGGAGAGTCACAATGTTCATCATTGTACCTGTAATGTAACTAATAATTTTAAATGTACTATTTTAAATATGTAAAATAAATTTTCACCATGAGCATGTTTTAATGAGGTTCAAGACTAGTTGACCCTTTTTCCCCATTTCACTATTCTGGGACTTTCAAATGTGCAAATGATTCTTCTTCTCCCCCCCCCACCCCCACCCCCTTTCCTTTTCCTTTCTTTTCTATGCTTTAGAAGTTGGTTGAATGCACTGACAATCAGTTGCTAAGGCTCCAACCCCACCCCGTCTTCCCTTCTAAATAGCCCCTGTTGGTTTTCTCTAACCTCTGAGATGAGGAAGGAGGCAGATTGGATACTGTCCACCTGGGCGGCCTCGAGGTGCTGGCGTAATTAATGACTAGAGTAGAAGGTAGTGCTTGGCTTGCCTCCCCGCTGCTTTCTGTGCTGTGTGGTCATGGCTTCGGGGATGAAAGGGGCTCCTGTAAGATGTCTGAGCAGGGTCACCGACGGAGCTGTGCTTCTGTGGCCCTTTCTCCAGCTCGGGGGTGGAGGCTGCTGAATTGGCCCTGGCCTTTCTAGGCAACCATAGGCCCATCTGGGAATCAGTCGTGTCCCCTATGGCACAGAGAGGCCCAATGCATTTTACCCTAAAGTCACTTGGCTGTGGTCCCCTTTAAGAAGCCTCGGGAACAAAGGCCCTCAAAAGCATTGACGTTGTTATGAATCAGTGGCCTTACAGGATGGACACGTAATGACTTATGATCTAATCATGCAGGCTCTGAGCAGGTCTTCCTCCTCGCCTTCCAGTCTATTGGTCACTTTTCACATCTTCTGTAGGAGGGACGGTAGGAGGGGTCAGGCTGGGTGAGAGAGAACAGAATTGATACAAATCGGTCACTTTGGTTCCTTGTCAGCTGCTCTTACACAAGGGGTGGTGAAGGTGGACCGAGCAGCTGACTGAGAGTGGGTGTCACTTATCAGTGAAGGACACGCACCGTACCCTCCCCGAGGCCTACTGTGACCACAGAGGTCAGAGTTCGTGTGATGCCTACGGGCCAGTGTCACCAAAACCCTGTTTCCACATCAGTCCCTGGGCTTGTGGCCAAGAGATGGGAGCTCCCCAGACCATGAGGATGCGTTCTCCTGGGAAGAAGACCGTGAAGCTGAGCCTGTCCCACCACTTGTATTGCTCTGAGTCCCCCCTCTGAGCACTGTTTGTAACGTTTCTAGTGTCTCACCGAGCATGCCCAATGACCCAGAGGGTTGTAATGACTGAACACACACACACACACACACACACACACACACACACACACACTGTGCTATCTGCCTAGGAGTCTTCAGCAAGGACCTGCCTGACTCATGTTCTCAGAGAGGGTTAGAAACATGGATTTGGAGCAGAGATATGAGATGAAACTCTAAAGCTAACAGAGTGATATCACCTAAGATGAGCTTCCATGACTGGGTCTTACTCCGGTACAGCAGGTGGGCGAGGAGCTGGCATGCAGGGGTCCCTCACAGCCTGCCTCTTTAGGAGCAACAAGAGAAGGTCTGGCCAAGAGACTCTGGACTTGTAAAGGAGCCCACTTTCCCAAAAGATTTGAGAATGTGACTATGATTGCTCTTCTTGCCTACTCAGAAAGTTGGATTTTTGACCACGTGTGTTAGTGATAAATATTTTGGGGACACCTTTCTCAGAACTTCCTAAAATTCCTAACATATGTGGGATTTTGTGGAGGGGATGTGATACATTTTGGAGTATCCTCCTAAACCTTATATGTCTCTCTGTCTTCTCTCTCCCTTAATGAAGCTCTTTTCATTGATCTCTGGCCTGCATAGGCCTACGTTGGACAAGGAGACACTGAAGGGAAGCCAACCTCACTTATTTCAGACACTATTAGAGCTTCGTCCAGAATCTGCGGCCACACCTGGAATTATTATGGCCGACCAAGGTCATTCATGCCATGTGGGACATGGCTTCTGGGGTCTTTGTCTTTGAGTCCTAACATATCAAGAGCTCTGCTCTGAGCTTCTCTTGGCAGGTCTGTGAAGATGTAGCTCTCACACCCTCATGGGAAAAAATAAGTTAGGACAGTGGGAAAGGGCATGGCCGGCCTCGCCTCCCTGAGAGCACATGTTGGTTCTTCTCCCAACAGGAAAACCCTAGGACCTCTTAGTGGTTGACTGAGCCTCACATGTATAAACACCCAGTGATGTGGAGAACATAGGCCACAAACCTTTTATCCCAGCGGTTCTCAACCTGTGGGTCAAATGACCCTTCCACAGGGGTCGCCTAAAACCATCGGAAAACACATATATAATTACATATTATTTTTGTGATTAATCACAATGCTTTAATTATGTTCAATTTGTAACAATGAAATTGGGGGTCACCACAACATGAGGAACTGTATTAAAGGGTCGCGGCATTAGGAAGGTTGAGAACCACTGCTTTATCCTAAGATATCCCGATAAATGAGTCAACTGCCCCCGAAGGTCCTATCTGCACCACAGTGTCTGGGAGAGGCCACAGTCCAAACACAAATAACAAGATGGAAACCTCAAAATCGTCCTTTTGAGTCTCTATATCTGATCCCAGGGAAGTGCCAGTAACTTAAACACTAGAGAATAAACTCCTTTTATCTTTCCAACCCCCTCCCCTACCACCACCACCCGTTCTTCCCTTATCCACCAAACCCCTCAAGAAGGAACTGCCTCAGGCCTATAAGACCTCATCAGTATTTTATAAAAGTTGCCCCTGGTAGAGCTTCCTAACTCAGTGCTCATGTTTTTCTCAAACGCTGCTGTCTACCTTGCACATCTCAGGAGGGTCAGTTCATTCTCACTCGCTTCCCGTTGGAGGTGAGGTCAGCTGCCCATCACAGAGCTGGCATGCAGGTTTGGGGCCTCTGACGCCGGGGCATGACTGGAGCCCTTCACCTACCAACACACCCACAGGTGGCCAGCCCACCTGCTGCCTGTCTCTGCCCTGACCTGCCATTTTGATTGGTGCATTTTTTGGTACAACAGGAAGTCATGTTCATGGCATACTCTACGCATGAGAAAGCGGGCGGAAGTGGAGAACTCGGGTAAAAATGAAGCCACAGGGCCTCGTAAACCCAAGGATATTCTGGGCCACAAAGTCTCTGTTAAAGTGAGTAAGGATCCCGGAGCTGCATCCCACCCCCTCCACTCCCCCCGCAGCATCCTCACGAGGCGACCGGGGGGACGGGGATCTTTCTTCCCAGCGTGGGAGCCAGAGGGGAGGTAGTTTAACAGGTTTTTGCATGCAAGATCAATTTATTTTTTATTTTTTATTTCTCCTGGCAACTTCGATTCAAATAAGTAAGTATCCTTTTTTTTTCTTTCATAACTATATACTGTGCAGATGTTTTATAGCAAAATTATCTGCAGCATTATTCCCTTAGAACCGCAAGGTGCTTGATTCATAACCAAGTTCTCAGAGTTGCCCATTTGGCATCGTAGGTTAGACGGTACATGTGGGGTGAGGAGATGAGGGGTGCTCTCCAAACCCTCAACCCTGTCAAGTCTGAGGTTTGGAATTTAAGGGCTACTGTGTCCTTGGCCAAGTTTCATTTCTTTTCCCCAGAATTCAGACATCACATTCCAGCCTGTGCATGGCAGAGAAGGGTAGCACATTGGTGACGCCCGAGTCTGCTTGGTAATAATCTCCCTGCTACTCTCGCCGAGTCTAGGCCTCGGCAGACCCTGGTTGCCTCCTGTCTCAAAACAGTGTGATCTGTTTTCTTTACACTTGGCCCTCTGGCAAATGGAACTTAGACTGCTGACGTTTAATTGTGCTATAAAGTGTGATTATGTACCTGGCACTTTCCCCCACCTTCCTGAGCAAAATAAGAACGGCCAAAACCCATTCTAACGTCCTTCTTGGGGAAAAGAAATTGTATTCCCTCCTTCACCCTCATCTGGGAAGGCCAGCCTCACCGAAGACCACAGTCTCGATCCAACAGCTCTCATGCTCCATGCGGTTGCTTCCATTGCTAGTTCCTGTGGGATGAGCGGCTGCACACGCTCCCAGCCTCGGCTCCTGACAAGAGCATGCTGCCGCCTTGGCGACCACACCCCGCCCGGGTTTTCCTCTGCCCGGTTGCCCATTGCCCGCGCTTCTCTGACGTTCTCCTCGCTCTCTAACAAAAGCTGCCTGTGTTCTAACTGTGTTCTCTCTCTCCCCCCTTCCTCATGCTGCCCACCAAGGAGACGAACAGCTCCGAGGAGTCAGAGTGTGACGATCTTGACCCTAATACTAGCATGGAGGTAGAAGCAGCTATTGTTGTCCTATTTCCTACGCTGATTGTCTTTCGTAATGTGCTCTGTGACCGTGGCCTTGCTAAAGTGACCTGCCAGGCAAAGGAAAATTGTTATGTCAGGGCTTCTCGGGGTGTTCCATCCCAACTTAAACCAACAAACGTAATGCAGCTGGATTTTGATAGAAAATTCTACCTAGATATCTTTTTAAGAACACACACTTGTGTTTCTCTTAAATGCTTGCTTGTTGTTTTCTTTTTTGGCGGGTTTGGCTTTGTGTAGAAAACACCCAGCTTCATTATTGGAGACTTAGAAAACAATTTTTTGTTCATGGAAAATGGCATTATAAACAGTGGTTGGTTTTCTAGCTGAGAGACGAGAACCCATTCGTTTTAGCTTTCCCCACTTGTTTCTCCCTCCTCCCCTTTTCCTCTTTTTCTCTCCCCTTTGTTCTCTTTATCTGGCTCTTCCAATGGGACCTATTCCTCCCTCAAGACTCCAGCAAAATCATGTTCTAACCAGAGCCCCAGGCAGTGGCTGTGCCCACCCCGAAGGAAGGAACAGGGCCCCGAGAGAGTGCCCTCTCTAGAGACAGGGAGACTGAAACGCTGCCCTGGGACCTTCCCACACCCGGGGTAACAGGGATGTGGCATGGAACCACCACCTCCACCAACAAGAGCTTCAAATCACCTTCCAGCTCCTTCTCGGCTGGAAATGATCTGGGGTTATAGGAACAGGACGCTCACCTGGCCCACAATGAATGAAACCCTTGTGAATGTGCAAACCCTAGAGCAGTGGTTCTCAACCTTCTGGCCCTTTAAATACAGTTCCTCATGTTGTGACCCAACCATAAAATTATTTTCGTTGCTACTTCATAACTGTAATGTTGCTACTGTTATGAATCGTAATGTAAATATCTGATATGCAGGATGGTCTTAGGCGACCCCTGTGAAAGGGTCGTTCAGCCGCCAAAGGGGTCACGACCCACAGGTTGAGAACCGCTGCCCTAGAGGATTCACGCAAACTTGGAGTTGGCATTCCCTACCACTTTCAGAAATCACTGAAATGCTTTTCTCCAAATCTGTGCCCCCATCTCCAACATTGGATAAAAGTTTAGAAATTTCCTCTAAGGACAAAGCAGAGAATTTAAAAAAATAATAATTTTTTATAGCCCTAAGCTTTTCACTTAACTAGATGGATTTTTTGTTTTTATTCTAATTTGACCTAATCCCAAAGAAATCCACCACCACATTATGACAACCACCACACAACCCAAGAATGACCACGCTGCCCGAGATGTGGCAAGGCAGCTGTGGAAGATGCCGATGGAGTTGAATCGGCCAGAGACGAGCGGTTGCAAGTGGGAGTCCCGCCAGGACCAAACAGTCCCCTGTGGATGTGGCTGCTGCCGCAGAGCTACATCTGGCCGGTGTGGGCCTGTGCAGTGCTCCGCGGTGGGAGGAAGTGAGCATTGCATTCGCAGTTTAAATGCGTCTTAGAGACTGAGGATGCTGGGGACAGGGGGGAGGTCTGGCTCTGCTTTCCCTGCTCCCGTGGGGCCCACACCTGTCGGCTTGTAGATGCCTGGTGGCCCTGTACCTCCAGCCTAAGTGTTGCTGGCATGTATTGGAGATGTCATCTGTAAGCGGAGGGAGGGGAAAGCCAGGTACCTGTGTCCCAGAAGGCAATTTGGGACCTTTCTCAGCTCGGGGGGCCTGGGGAAGAAGAGTGGCGTTGCTACTCTGCCCTTAAGAGGAAGAAGTGGGCACGGGAACGCGGGCCGGGAGAGGAGCCCATTCTGCATTTAGTTAAGCGCGTGCATGTGCACGTGCACACACATCTCAGCCCTGATTTGTGAGCTGCAAGCATTTGTGAGGTTCCTGTTCCTCCCGCGCTTGCAGCCTTCGCACGGCTGAATGAGGTGGGTCCCCAGAGGTGCTGGAGACACGTAAGCAAAGGCACGAGGCTGTCGATGCTGAAACAAGGAAAGCCAAACACGGTCTTGATGCATGTCCAAGACGTTTTCACATTCCAATGAACTGGAACTCTCAAGGGGTGTGTGGCTAGAAGCTGCAAATATTCTGGTTGACCCAGCATTTCTTGTGGCTGGTGTGCGTGTGGCCCTCATATGTGCCATATGCTCCTTGTAAGCGTCAGCGAGCTCCTCTGAGCTGAGCTGCCACCGGGAAGCTAGCCCTGAGCACAGGAGCAGGTGCTGAGGGAAAGCGGCATCACCGCTAGCTTAGGCTTCTCAGGCACAAATAACAAGTCAGAGACAGGAAGGCCAACTGTTCCGTGTGAGCTGAGGGTCCTCAAGGGGTGGGTAAGTAGGACCTCGGTGCACTGTCCATTGCAGACGAGAATGGCCAAAGGTGCACCGGAAGAGAGCTGTGCTTGGAAGACCTGGCTTGAGAAACAGGTGGGAGGCCACCTCCAGAAGCCCACTCGCTGGTCAAGTGAGAGCTTTGAGCATCTTTCCAGGCCCAGCCTGGTCCCCAGCCTCACTCCTGTCTTCTGACCCCGATGATTGTAGTGGGAGTTGTCTCCTCGGGAATGTGTCCCTGTGCTCTACCGAGCTTTACTTCACTCCTCTGGCCTGGAGCCTGTGTCTGGAGCCCTGGCTGACCCCCTGGCCCTGTGTGCGTGCCATGCTAGGTCGCTGCTGCGTCCTGCCCAGCTGGCTGCCTACCCGTGACCTGTGCCAGCGCGTCGATGCCACTCCTAGCCGTGCATAGGCTCTTACCTGGCCTCCACAGCGCGTCACTACCCAAGCATCCTTTCTTCTCACCTGGTGGATTGAAGGGTTCCTGTAAGGAGCCGTTTCCCAGGGTCCTTGCTTAAGCTGCTTGCTACCCTCAGAGCTGGCATATGTCCCACCGCACTGTTTCAGGGAGATATATAGGCACATCCTTCGCAGCTAAGAGGACAATAAGTCACCTCGGACCCTAGGAATCTGAGTTACAAAGCTTTCGGAGGACACCCCGTTATTTAAAGGAAGCGGTTCTGCTCCCATGCTTCCCTCCCTCCCCCTGCAGGGACTCCTGCATGTTCTCAATTACAACGAGCTCCCAGCACCGCCCGCTATGCCACTCACTGCCACAAGGCGGCCTCCAGGTCTGCGCGGTCCCTCGTGGCCCAGCACCCCTTTTTCACCTGATGGCCCTGACCACACCTCAGGGAGAACGGCTCCAAAAATGCCTGGGAGCTGTCCCTGGGTCGGCTTACTTCTTTGCCTTCCTGGCCTTGCACTGGCCACACTTTGGGAATAGGAGTGGAGGGGCTGTGGTCGCTGAGATAAAGGTTTCTACGTGGAGGAAGAGTCCAAGCAGGCGAAACACAGACACTCGGCTCTCCTGGGGACACGTCGGTATTCATTCCATTTCCCAGGACAGCGTAGACCACAGGCTGCCTTTCGTCGCCAGGAGGGTAGACGTGATGGTGCCCACCCGGCAGCTTCTCCCTCCTGCCCCACCCGTGTCTGCCCGGTACCTGGGCCCGAGCAGGCTCAGGGCTTCGGGCTCGGCCCGGCCCTCCAGCCAGCACCCACCTCTGAGAAGTCTGAGCGTTACTGGATTCTCTGAGGACCCCGGTGAGGCAGGTTTCCACACCCATGCCACTCCGAGGAGCTGTCAGGACTGTGGGGAGGCTGGGTTCCCGCACCTGCCCTCCCACCCGCCCAGCACTGCTTTTCGGCCACATCACGTGCTCGACGGGGAGGCCTGACCCAGCCTCCCAGCCTTCGTCCTCAGGGACAGGGATTCTTCGCCCAGCCTTTCGGTCAAGCACAATTAATTACATGCATCTTAATTGTTTTAATGCCCAATAGCACTTCTAGCAGAGAAGGTCAACCCATCAGAGGAAGAGGGGGTCAGGATTCTCGAAAGACTGTATCTCGCACTTGGTGTGACCAAATGCAGACCTTACCCATGGGCGTAGCTCCAGCCCGGAGGCATTCCATCAGGGGCACCATCTGTAGGAAGAACGGGATTAGGATCTTGTGGGAGAGGTTCTGACAGATGAGGGAGAGAAGACACTTAAAAAGGTGAAGCTAATTGGGGAGAAAATTTCTAATTAGGGTAAAATCATAGACTTTCAGAGTCGACAAAAACTTGGGAAACTCGTTAGCCCCGTCCCTGTCATGTATTGTTTAAATTGCAGTAAAACATACATGACATAAAATTGACCATCTTCACCATTTTTAAGTGGCATTCAATACCTTCACAAGTCGTACAACTGTCACTCTATTCATCTCCAGGCTTTGTCATCATCCCAAACTGAAACTGTACCCACTAAACCATAATTCCCCAAGCTCCTCCTCCCTCCAGCCCCTGGGAAGACAGGGGCTTCCTGTAGAGAGGAAACTGAGGCAGAGGGCGTTGTCACTTTCTGTTGGGAAGTGAGAAGGTGCCCTGAAGGCAGTACCTGGGTGTCCCTGTGTTCCCCACCCTCGCCACCTGCTCTTCCTCAGCGCCCCATCTTCGGGTGGTTTTAACCTAAAACACAAACCCTGCCAGATGACGAGACCTGCCTGCCAGTGCCAGTTTTCGGTACAAATTTGTTATTCAATGCTCCAACTCAACAAAGAGGAGTGTCATTTCCGCCCATCCCAGCTTTGCAAGGCCGAAGTACGAGTTAAATAACAATCACACAGAGGCAGCCTCACATGGAAGAACGGACTCCAGACCGTTCTGTGCGGGCTCAGGCCATTGGCCTTTCTGGGCCCGGGGTTCTCTGTAGGTGGCAGCACGGCTTCCGGGCACAGGGGCTGCTGTACGTGATGGGGAACGTTGAGCGCCCTGCAGACCTCAGGTGAGCTGCCAGGACTCAGAGACCCTTCACTCTCCTGAGCTTCTGATTCTGACAACGAGGAGACCCCAAAAGAAGAAGAAGCAGAAGCTTCGCTGTCTTGCTCCAGAAACGTGCTTCGCAGGGGCCGTGGCAGGAACGGCCTCCTGAGACCTGGTTGGATTGCCCGCTCCCTGCTGGGGGGAGAACCGGAGTAGCTGGAG